TATGGGGGTAGCTCTTCAGTCAATCCACTTTCACCCCATACCCATACCTACATCCACAACCACACACATACCCTCTTCTTTATTGCGTTTTTCTAAATATTTCCTGATTTCTATTACGATCTGTTTTTTGTGTATATATTATATACATTTTCTCTGTTTTCGTTATTATTATAAGAACTATTTTTTCTATTCTTCTTGTTAAAAAGTACGTCGTTATTATTATTATTATTAAACATCATTAACATCAATAAAACCTTTTATTGGTTGTAATTATAAATTATTAATAAATCAAAACATCTGATTATATATTTGATTAACTGAACATTACAGTACGGTAGGCAGTTATTGTGCGTTTTCTCAATAATAAGCAGACAGAATTCCCTCAAAGTATAGAATCGCCAAATTCCGCATAAGTGATTTACGGAGGTTGAAGCCATAAGTTACATCTCGAAACGAGAATCTCACAACTTTTGGGACCCAAAAAAAAATGTTAGATCCTATGCCTCTATAAAAGAAAGATGGTCCGAACAATCCTTTATTTGTAAGCAAAATGATATTTTTACAAATTACAAAATAAAAAAAACCTAGCTAGATTAAGAGGCACAAGGCCATCTACTTTTGTGTTATTATAACGCAACATAATTATAAACAGTTAAATATGTGGCTTTCTCTATGTCAGTTATTAACACATTTTTTTACATATAAAGACAACTAATGTTACTGGTAAACAGCATCCGCAAACACTTCTAATAATGACGCCAATGAGTCTACCCAATGTCAAGACTCCTCAACGACGTGCACTAGGTCTACAGCTTCGAGTAGGAGTAACACATGAATCAGTCCCTATAGAAAGAAAATAAAAATGAGTGTTGTTGATTTCTTCGCTTATCGCCTCAATTACACTTACACGCACAACACCATGGATCCATAGGTGTGCCACAACATCGACCTTAATGAATAAAAATTGTAAAACACTCTTCAAAAAACAACAAGAAGCTTTAATTTCTACATACCGCTTTTTTTGTCGTATGCTGCACTACAGCTTCCTCCATTACAACAACTTCTACATTCAGGAGTCTGTGTCAATGACAGATTGAAAAGTGCCCATGTCTTTCATCCCGGCAATTTCCCGCCGGGATCCCGCGAGATCCCGTCCGGGATCCTGTGCGGGATCCCGCTCAAAAAATATCGGGATCCCGCGAGATCTCGCGGGATCCCAGCAATAAAATATCATCTGATAATCGAAATTTATTTCATACAGCTTCTCAAAAAAGGGATGTGACAAGCAATATGTGAGATTATTTGTGCTAAACAAACAAGATAAAATAAATTCTTGGTCAAACCTTATATTAATTTATAACCATCATTAAATTTGATTTTTGTTGCATCAATTTGCAATAATTCTTCACGTGTAAAAACAATATGAATTAATGATGTTACATATAAATTCATCTTTTGTTTAACACCAGTTATTGATAATAAATCAACATCGTTTCCATCGTTGGGATTTTTGTACATCTAAAAAATGAAAACAAATCTTATGAACAATCGATTAGTATAAAAAAGGGCATGAAAAACATTTGCTTCAAAAGTTCTTTCTTCACATGTTATTACTCTGTTTAAAGCTGTTTGAACGTACCATTATTGTTTCAAATGTTTTTTTCTTCAACTGGTTGTTCTACATTGGGTTCTTCTAATGGTATATATATCTAAATAGAAAGAAATAAATATAAAAAGCATGTCCATAATAGTCAGTATTTAACCGTGCTGGTATGTAAAAATGTACCGTTAATTTGTGCATGATTTCACTAGAATACGTTTTTAGATTTTCACTCTAGATGGCCTTTGAAACTTGTAGCCCTAGTAACTTACGAAAAAGATTTCAGACCGTAATATTTTCTAGGTTATTCTTAATTACGCAGTACACGATAAGAAGAAACTAGCCCAAAATGAGACTTTTTACCCCAATATCTGTCTAGCTGTTGCAGAAAGTGACTCCTCTTACCTTTTTTTACATAAGGCCTTTTGTATTGTTTTTAATTTGCAAATAACATGTGAATCATATTTTCTTGTCTTTCTTGTCCCATTAATATTTGTTTTAAATATTTTTCTTCTATGTTTGTAACACTTAACAATATTCATAGCTTTTCCTAATAATTTTTGTGCTTCATGTAATTCAGCCATTGTACCTATAGTAGAAAGAGAAATAGACAAAAGATAACTGTTCACGTTTTAAAAAAAAAACTTGACGTTCATCTGATACCTTCTTTGAAAACCATTGCCAGACATTTTTTACTGCCACTTTGTATAGTAATTAATCCATCATGTTCTGAATTTGAACACTGTTTATTATTAACAATAGAAAATGTATTGTCACTTGGAAATATTACAAGTTTATATTTTAGTTCGGTATTGGTTATGCTATAAGTTTTGTAAGATTTTTTTATAAATATTAGTATCGTCTAACATATCTAAATTATTGTGCATACTCAATAAAAAATCAATAAATAGATCGATTTTATGTCGCAAGAGTAGAAGAATGATTGTCACAGCGGCCGACTATTGTGTAAACAGACATTGAATCAGAAAAAAGAACAATGATGACGGTCAAGTCGATCTGAATGAGATGAGCAATCACTGACGGATGAGGTAATGACAATAATCCTTTTTCGTCTGACATAAAATATGATATATCGAATTGATTACAATTATTTGTTTAACTACAAACATTCTAATTCGAATCTGTTTTGAACATACAATCGTAGAATGCGCTTCACTAAATGAACAAGAAATCATTTGGGATAAAATAATTGTGCCGGGATCCCGTCACTTTTTGCGGGATAGGCGGGAACCCGCGGCTTCCCGCATAGAAAAGTTAATCCCGCGAGATCCCGGCGAGATTCATAAAAAATGAGCGACATGGGTGCAATTAAAAAGAGTAGCACACAGAAAACATAGGATAAAGAGGACATTTTATCAAGAAGATTTTGTAACAATTTTCAAGAAGAAGAATGAAAAGAAATATCTTTCACACTTTGCTTTACTCTTCAACTCTCACCTTTTATATACATTTTATTATAGAAAGAACGTAAATAAAAATGATGATTTATCTTCATTGATATCAGTTTTTTTTTCTTCTTATCAGAACATACAATGTTAATCATTCAACTGACTATTTTAGAGTGCAACGATAAAAAAGAAACTTCTCTCTTTCTGAAGTATTAGTTCTTTCATGACAAACAGATTATCTGATTCTATAATAAGTCGTACTCTTTTTCGGAGTCTTTCGTTTCATGTCGATTCGAGTAATATCAACAGTGATCCAGCTGAACCACATAAAAAATACTTATGCGATTAAATCTTGTAAAAGATGAAACTATTAAGTGTCCATAAGTAGACTTTTATTTAAATGATTTCTTCTGCAGAATTAAATTTACTCCTAGAATGCATGACTGTTCTTGATACTTTTAGCCATTAGAGCGTTGGTTTCTATTTTAGGAGCATAGAAATTAGAAAGACAAATGTTGATAATTAAGATAGGCATGCACATTTGATGAAAAGTTGTTGTTAAATACTGTCAGTAGCATCTAACAATAATTTAAGACTTGTATCAACAACAAAAATTACACTCTCGTCTATTTCAAATTTTTCTGACAGTATAAAATCATCTGCTTCAGCTGAAGCACATACTCGTATTCATTCAGGAACAGCATGTTCAAATTCTGAAACGGCTAAGATGGACAAAGCTATGACAAGAAAAATTAAACTTAAACCAATTAGAGAATCGTCAGAACGATGTAATTTTCTTTGCAAAGAATTTTTAAAGAAACATTATTGTTTTTATATTGGTAATGTATTGTTTGGTTTTTTTTTTCCTATGATAATAGTTTGTTGTTTATTATTTAATGCAACATGCTCGACATTCATGTTTTGGTCTAGTACAAGTAACAACCAATGATGATCAATTGTTGGCGTTATTCAAAGTTTTAGATGGTTATCTACCATGAGTATTTGAAAAAGAAGTTAGGACGATTTAAACTAGTTGCGTGTGTATCAGGTCTTTCTTTATTCTTCTCTTTACTTACTCCTGCGATTTTTTTTTCTCAGATGTTTTCTGTCAGATTTTTTCTATTGTCAGATATATGTGTATATGATTTGGAATTAAATAAAAGCTATAACGTGCACATGATTTCTGCATACTTTTATTATATTCTTTCACTAAAATCTTATTGAAGAAATATATAAATTCAATGTTAACTTTAGACATACATGTTTGTATGTTAGTTATCTTAGCTGAATTTATTTATATCTTTTTCAATTTTAAGAGAATGATTCATAGAAACATAATTTATTATTCTGATTCTTCACAATAGTTTTCATTACAAAACTATTGATGAATAAAAATCGAGTTATTAGCAATATGATAATCTATTATGAAAGAATACAACTATAGCCAATCGATATTTTTTTTAATGTACAATATGATTATACTTCTTATATCATTCGTTTTCTATTTTAGTATAATAACATTGAGATGGCGAACAATTAACATAATCAAGATAAAAGGAATTAAAAAAATTTTTTTTTTATGAAACGACTCTTTCTATCTAGTAGATACTCGCATAATATCAAATGCGGATAACTAGAGAACATTATCATACATGTCATTGAAAAAAATAATCTAACAATTGATTTGGTTTTTAATACAAATGAACAAAATTATATAGGAACGATTTATTCGAATAAAAAAGATTCTCTCACAAATATGAACATATTCATCATAGTCATGTACGAACTACTAGACATTCTTGAAAAACAGATAGGAATATTGTTTAGTTCATTGAACATTCAACAAAACAAAAAAATTTCAAATATTATTGAAGATAACTTTTAAATTAAACGCAATTCGACATATTTAATTGTTATTATTATCTTTAAAGATATTCTTTCTTTTTATCAACTTGTTCCTAGTAGAATTATTAGAAAATAATGTCAAAATTGGTTTGGATAAAGATTTATTGAAAATGTAAAAATTTAAAAACCAACGAAACTCGAACAATTAAACTACTTTACAGAATTTTCATGCTTACCAAGCTCTATCGAATTACATAGTTCTAGTTCGAGCTTAACGGTTCAAATAAAAACAAAAGAAACAAAATAATCTGAGAGCAAAAAGTGGACGAGAAGCAACTTTTTAAAATATGTTCGAATCATTAAACCATCGGATCTACATAGCAAATATTTTCAATCTATGTCGATAAAAGTTCGTTTTTGCATTGTTGAAATTAAAGATTTCATTTTATATGTATTATGTTATTTTATTTGAGTACTGAAGCATGAAGTACCTTTTAATTTCAATAATTTACTAAGAAAAATTTGCCAAAATAGATTTAAAAATTTCGTATATATTTGATGATTTAACTATTGTGGATCATTTTTGGAACTGTTGAACTCTATTTTGCTAGGAGTTTAACATGCCAGAGAGTATAAGAGGGGACATACATGATTTATACAGATAGGCAGTGAAAGGGAATGAATGTACTTGATCATACTAGAAAAAGACAACTTATATACGTCATTATATAAAAAGATCTTGTACAAGTGATGACACCATCTAACACAATATTCGTATCGACGTTTGTAATTAACTAACTTCAATCTTATTTGTTTGATGAACTCTAAATATGAACGGAAAAGACGAGAAGAAAATGTAATAGATAGTAAAATAATTTCCATCTATTCATCCTGGTATATATATATTGGTTTTTTTTCGCTTATGTTTACAAGTAGTATTTATCTAACGATAGATTGACTTCTTTTATGAAGCTATTTGAAGTTTTGATTAATTGAAAAAGATCATAAGAGTATTTCATGAATTTCTACCGTATTTACGTTGACTATTTTCAAATCGCACAAAATTTCTAGAGTTTTTATACCATGTTAACAAATGATTATCTGTAAGACCAATTTTTAAATTTCATTAACAAATACATATCTATTGAAAGATACTCTATTGTATGGGTTTTGTATAAATCACAAAAATTAAAATTCTTTTAAAAAATGTATCTGCCGATTTAAATGTACAATATAACAATTATATTTGCATATTATTATTATATATCATTTGATTGTTGTTGATGCTGGCTAGATTGCGGCTATAACAGACCTTGATTTACTTAATACATTTATTATATGACTATTTGATTTATATGTCATACCCACTAAATTATAGTGTACGCTCATGTTATTAAAAGAAGTTCAAAAAAACAAAATTTCCAAGCGTAGCCTTATATAAAGTTTTGTAGAGAATTATCTACTCTACAACATACACTAGAAAAAAAAAATCTTTTACCTTTTTTGATCTAACAATATACAAAACAAATAGATATGAAACACCTCATGTTTTTAAATATCTATGAGCCAGTCCTTAAGAGCCAAGGCTGAACTAACTCAAATGAGGACCCCAGATTTACTTAAGGGTGTGGGTGGGGTTTGGATTTCGGTGTTTTTGTTGCTAAAAGAAGGCTAACATCCACACCCTTATCCACTCCTACCCCCATACCCATACCCACGCTATTAAAGATGCTGATTCTTAGAGTTTTGATAAAAACAACAAAATTCAAAATGGATTTATTTTACTAGAGATTTATGAATATACATGAGACTGTTAAAAATCTCAAATTTTGTAAAAGATTTGTGCGCAATTTTGTAGCTTTCGATACTCAAGGAATTTCAAAAGGTAGAAAAATGAAATATCATATTCAGATGCCTTGTCAAAGGACACATCGAATCATACTAAGCTTAAGCTCACTTACAAAAAAGAATTGAATCTGAAATATCGTCTGACCAGTTACGGATCACATAGCGACTTAACTGCTAGATTGGAGGATTCGTATTATTTCAAAAATCTGAATGTGTTCATATCATTAGGTGATGTATCACATAGAACATCATTTTTTCCACATCATAAATAGTGCATATTTCACAGTGTTCTCTATATCATTAAAATATTTAGGCAGAATCGTTGAGCAGCATTTATTCATCAAATGGCTCAAGAAATCCTTTGATCTTAAACCATCAGGGATGCATATTTAATATTCGGTTAATGTATCTCAAGTATAAGACTCGATGAAATCAAAACTAAAACCAACATATTAGGCTACTCTAGTTTTTGATCTGAAATACCTTTGTGATTCGACATCCAACTCAAAAAATCCGATATAAATTCTGATGCAATCTTCTAAGATCGCACGAATACAAGGTTTTTGATAAGATATTACGAGAAGATCAATCAAAATCCTATGCTAAGTATAAATGCAGGATTTCGAATCGTTTTTGACATAAGATTAAAATGAAAATCTTACAAAAATCCCAACATATCAAAGTTACAAGAATAGCTATTATAGCACCAACTTGATCGTATAAGGTCATATTCTCGATCGAAAAAAAAAAGTGTGAATATGTTAACTAACGTAATGGTATCTGCACGTGCCAAAGAAAAATAATGCTTATTGGTTACAACCCGAGAACCTACAAAAATAAACACTGAACGAAATTTGAACGACCAACATATAGCTATTAGCGTTTGAAAGATTTTTATTGTCAATAAATTGTTTATATTTTGAAAAAGGATAATATATTCAGATAGAACATTGGACTATTTGAGTTTATTCGACACACGCTGAATGTCTTGATTAACGATGCCAATAAATGGATGTGTAGAAGGCAATGTTACATGAAAGATCGTCGATGCTTTTTGAAAATGAGTTAATGCCTGTTGAAAGTCTTCTTTACCAGCGTAAAGAAGACCAAGATTGTAGTGCGACATTGCAATATCTTGATGTTGACTTGGTAGAGATTTTTGATAGATTTCTAATGCCCTATTATAATATTGCAATGCAAGATCTGGATAATTGAGACATAAATAAATACTAGCAATACAATGTACGGATGCACCTATGTCCGGATGATCAGTAGGAAGGTATTTCTGTCGAATCATCAATGACTTTTGATGACATTCGAATGCTTCTTGAAATTTTTTCTCTTCTTGATAAACATTGCCCATATTATGATAACACATTGCTACTTGCAAATGTTCTTCACCAAATCTTTTTTTTCGAATACTTAATGCCTTTTTAAATGATTCGAGAGCATTCGTACGATTTCCTTTTCGGAAATGAACTTCACCAATACTATTGTAAGTAGTTGCGACAACAGGATCGTCAGGTTGACGTGTTTTATTATACATTTCAAGGGCTTTGGCAAACCATTCAAGACTTGTATCATATTTACCTTTGTGATTTGCTACCATGCCAAGATTGTGATAACAAGGAGCTAAATCTGGATGATCACGAGGTAACTCGCTTAATAAACGGTTACAATATTTCTCGGCTTTATCATATTGCCCCATTTTGAATAAAAGTATACCAAATGAGAAATCACTTGATCCTGAATCGTTTTCATCGTATTCATTCTTCATATAATCATAAATAGGTTTTAAACTATTATCATTATCACTACATATTGCCATGTGAGCAATCCACACTCCATTTTGACAATCAATATTAACAAGTCGAAATATTGATCCCAACATGATCAGTACTTCTTGTTCATTGGTAAAAAAACTGCTTGATGTAATATCAGCAAATGGTTTGATACCAGCAAGCGTTGGATCAAGATCAATTTCGAATAGAATACGTTGAAGATCACCCGATATTGTCGAACTACTGAGAAACGATAAAGCAAGTCGACGATCGAGACTTGTCGATAGAAATGAATTCATCGAGATAAATTGTCCTGTGGAAGTTTTTAATGTATCAAGTTCATCTTTTGATATTACTTGACCACGATAGACACGAAGAAAAGTTGAACATTGAAGTTTTTGAAGTTGTTTTTGAATATCACACATAAAAAATCGAAAGAGAAAAAGTAAATCAATATCTTGCGTTCGAAGAGCTTTGTTCAATAATCGATAGAGAAATGATTCTCTCGTATACCACCATAGAGCACGATCAGACACATAATCTTTTTCAAATTCTTGAATAATGGCTAGTTCACTTGAATTATTTTTGTAGAATTTTTTACATCGATCGGTCAATTCATTTTTATCTGTTACTTTTGGTTTCATCCGTAGAAGACGATCAATTAATAATTGAGAGAACATGAATTGACCATTGAGTCCTGTTGTTGATTTTTCTGCTTGAGTACCCGAATTAAAAATATTGATTGGAAGAATTTCGTCAACTTTATTACGAAATCTTGTTGTTTGATCCAATAGAATCTGATCAACAAGCGCATTCACCTTTGTAGATATACCTTCAATCTAAAAATTAATTATTTCGTCAATCTATAGCCGTTATAATCAACTTCGAACTAACAGATCGATACAAATGGTGGCTTAGACTTTTTCAAAGGTTCTGAAAATCATCTTAATCATTGTTTTTTTTTCTGAAACGCATTACAGAAATTTTCCGCATGATTCTTATGGAATAAAATAAAAAGAAGCAATGAAGTGACTGTTTTGAAGATCTTCGATAGTATTATTCATGAAAATCTGTGGTATGGTATCTTAAGTAGCATGACAACATGTCGACCACGATTTGAGACCGAGCTAACTCGCTTTGGTCACCATATACTTCGTGATACATGCATAGTCAAATTTCATCAACTAATGAGTGTAAACGTATATTCAAAAAGTTTTCGTTTTCCTTCTTGACAAACATGTGTGTTCGGATATAGATTTTTCACTTTAACTTATTGTTCTATCTCGAAAGAAAGAACTCTATTAGGAAATGAGCTTATTTTCAACAGATTGAATTGCCTTTCTTATATTCTTATTCTATTTCTTAACGTAAAAAGAGCAAGCAGATTTTTGTGACTATCAAATTCATCTTCAGACAAAAATTCAAGAAAATATCGTTGAACAATTTAAAGAAAATATGATATACTGGAACTGTGTTTGTTACCTGCTTTAGTGCTGCATCGTTAATCTTAATTTGATGTTCAAGCTTAACTAATCTACATTAGAATGAGAATGAAAAAACACGAAATACTACAGATGTGTTCGACTCGTTAAGGAGAACTTCGATCTTTGACAAAAAAAGGTCAGAATCGAATGAAAAATTTCTCGATTTTCACTATAATTTTACTATGTACCTTCTCGAATTTTTTCGTCCAATCGTTGTTTTGTTTGTTGTCTGAACAATAGATATAGATTGTAAAAATCTGTGGCAGTGAGTGAATTCGAGTTATCACATCTTGACCCAATTGATCGCTAATGATTAGAATAATTCGATCATCTTTAGGTACAGATCGCATATATGATTCGCATTGTTCAACATCATCGAATATCTTTAGATGATTGATTAATTTACGAAGTCGTTTTTGAGCTTCAATATATTCGTTAGCTTCATTCATAGCAGATTCAAGCCAAACCAGAGAGTAGGTTTCGAGATTATTTTCGTGTACTTCGGTTGAAGTGGAATGAGTTGTCGTTGCCATTTGACACTTTCTCCTTCTGTCCTTCGCTACGCGTTGACTCCCGTAAATGCTGAATAACAATTCTCAAATAAATAACTTCATTTTGATTCAATCTTGCGTTGATTCTATACAACAAAAAAGATTTTTTTCTCCCGTTCTTTACTCGTCGGTTACCGACAACATCCGTACGTGACAGTGACGTATCAAGTGTCGGCTGCATGAAGGAATAAAGAAAGAGAGAAAAAAAGATACCAATTTTGTGTAGCAAGAAAAATCGTCTGATATGTTCACATGCATGCATGGTAAAAAGTATAGAAAGCGTAGACATTTATTTCTGAAGCTCAATTTGAAACGTACGGTTATATCGTTCAAATTTGTTTTTAACAACCAAGTACTAAAACATGTCTATTTCGGATTATTTCATAATAAAATTCCCTATATTAATGAAAATAACAAATGAGGGCAGACTTTTGCATTAATTGTGGTTGCGATGTAGTGCTCCGATGAAATTTTGTAGAGGTTTCATTGCTCCTTTTTTTATTAGAAATAATAGTATCTAGTACAAAAATACATTAAAAATTTTGACCGGAAATGCTTTTAAATGATGAAAAAAGAATTAAACTAAAGAATGCGAGAAAACTCTTACGCAACTTCAGTAATATTTTATTTCCCAAAATATATTCGTTTGATTATTTTACTATTTATAATCGATATTTTTAGGCACCGTATTTCTAGAGGTGTGTATTACAAGAAGGATTTCGGTTTGCAACTAAAATAATTAAATAATCTAACATAAAAGAGAATAGATAGCAGAGGAAATGATTAGACAGTAGAGTTGTTCGATTTAAAGTATATGATCTCACAGAAAAAGCGTTGCTGTATACTATATCACAGGAGATATTTATTCTATTCCTATTAATATCGATAGACAAAGAATTTGATAAATTTTCTTTTACATATGAAACTTATAGATTCTTGTGATAGGCCTCTCTGTCAATGGATTGTATTTATTTTGAGGTAACCCTATACATGAAAAATATTGATATACAAGTCAAAGATTTAGTCAGAAAAAACAATTCGAACATTTCTAATCGCTATGTTTCCCCAGGTCAAACAATTAGACAGTAAGATCTTACGAGACCATACCTCTGATCTTATACTATCTTGTAAGATCAGATGGTAATTGTATAGAAAATCGTCGTCTCAGAATTTTGTCGATCCGTCGTATTATAAGATTCTTGAAAGACCCTGTTACCTTGTAAGATCTTTCACGAATCTAATAGTATGATCTGATGCAAGATTTCTTAGACGACGATCTTTTGTCAGATTCTTGTAAGATCTCGTCCAGATTGCAAGACTTTACATGTAGATGACAAGATCTTACGTCGGGTTTTCTGATCTGGACTTTCATCGTTCGTCCAGCATCATCTTTCTCAATCAAAAGTGTATGATTTCTTCTCATCTAAATGCATATCACATTTTCACACAACTTTTCCGATATCCTCGTTTCAACAAAATAGATTGTTTCTCTCCGCGAGGGTGTGGGTATGGGTATGAGTGTCGACGAGCTCACGAACCCTAGCTACATCTGCCTACCTACACCCACACCCTCCCCGCTAATCATTTCTTTTATTTCTATCATTTTATTCTTCTTTGGATAGAATGCTTAGCAACGTTTGCATTGCTTTACTTGTTCATTTACGCCATAAATTCCCATTATTTGAGAAAATTCTCATTTTTATTGATTAGTATGAAATCTTTGATTTTGAATTATATTTAATTGTGATTTTTTTTTAAATATTAAGGTCTTTTTAATTCATGTTGTTATTATTGTAATAATACCTGACGAGTCCCTTAAGCAAGGATGAAACGTCGTATGATTGACTTTGAATCTTTTGTTTTTAAATCTACCCGCTCCAATTCTGTAAACATTGCAGTCAACGAGAAAGAATGGTAGAAGAACGTTGTTGGAGAAAGAAAGTCATAGAAGATATATCACGCATAGCAGCTGTCACATTAAAGAATATCGTTTCTCAAAAGTGTACTTCTTTTTTCTTCTTCATTCATATTTTAATAAAGAGAAGGTAATCGATATAAAAGTCCATGTTTTATTGCGAATGATTTTATAGTTGAGGAAAACAACGTTAGTAAAGACATCAGAGAAACACATTTAGCTAAAGTTTTTTTTTTTATCATCGCCACGACTGTAAGTTAAATCTAGACGTAATAACATATATCAATGCAAGAATATTCTTGTAACGATTCTCTACTACCGAGATAAACATGTCAATCAAGAATGTACTCCATCGTATATTTTTTTTTACGATTAATACAACATTTATTTCAATTAAATCTATTTAAAAGTGGTCAAATCGAGCATGAAATCACCGAACGCCGGACAACTCGTCTCTATTTATTGCTGTTAATAAGTGCTCTCCTTATTTTGTTCATATTTACAGCATTGAGTCTTAGGACAAATCTGTTAACGTCCAGCTGACATTGTTAACACAATTCGAACAATTACAATATCGATATCCTTATACTCTACACTGTCCATGTACGCATATTTCAACTGAAATCTCACGGTTCATCATCATAGAGCCTACATATCATCAAATTTGTCAAAGCTCGTTTATTTCTGTCGATGGTATAAATTATTTATTACATAATAGTATGAATAGTGAGATTTTAGGAGATTATAGTAAATGGATAGTTAATGAATTTCAAGCGTTGCAAGTGTTTTGTCAAAGTTCGCAGACAACCGTCGAACATACGTTAAATTTATTTCGGCAGACTCAATTTTTTACCAAAGAATTGATATCAAGGCAGCTATTTGTAGCACAAACTCAATCATCTATTCAACTATTTCAAGAAACAATCTCAAATCAATTTGTACGAGCTAATATATTAATGAGAAATGTAACTTCAATCAATCAACTTATAAGTGCACTACAAACAAACTATTTTATTACTGTTTACGGTTATAATCAGGTTTCTTACGGTGGAATTCAGTATTTAGCTCAAGATGATTCTTGGTGCTCATGTACGAGGCTGGAGCCGTGTGACATAGGAGAGACGAATAGATTGACACTTGATGGCTTTTATAGAGGTTGTTTAATTGTTGAGGCCTTGGTAAAATCATCATTGATATGTCTCTATAATCAATCGTGTGTTCGCGATCAAATCTAGGCCAAAATCATATCCTCATCATCAGCTAATCTCAGCTTTCAAGCCATGAATGCTTCACTAAGTCAATATCCGATCAATGCAACACTAGAACTCATGATTTATAACTTGATGTTAGAAGGGATGGTACAATGTCACAAATTATTCTGCCTATTTTGAACAATGTAACTCGCAGAAATGTACCTATTCGTATGTAGAACGTCATGATATTCTTTATATTATTACAACAATCATTACATGCCTTGGAGGTCTCATTAACGTATTGAGATTTCTTTTCCCATTGCTTGTTAACTATGTCCCCAAAATATTACAACTTGTCTGTAATCGAATAAGAAAAAGATCACATAATCAAATACGATCTGGTAAAACAGTATATTCATTATTTTGTTTATATATCATCGATTGTCTAGATAATATTTTAACTGAGAATGTCCGATCGGCATCGATAATTCCATTACATGAAAGGCTTCGTTTATGGTTAATAAAAAATACGATTCATTTGAATTTATTCAAAAGTGGTAATGCCAATGAAGAATCAGTAGAGAGGAAAACTACCCGATTCTATTTAATTCTATTGATTATTTCATCATGTGTTCTTCTTTCATAACACCTTGTTTATTCCGCAAACAAAATCGAATAGTATCAAAATGCCATCACAAGCTCAATTTGAACAATTACAGCTTCGATATCCATATCTCTTCAGTGTCCTTGCACAAAATTTGCAATACGGTACGAATATTTTATTACCATCAAACCGATATATCATCAAATATGTCAGAGTGATTTTGTATCGAAATCATTGCTTCAACGTTTCTCTGAATATATCGACTTCGGAGAGGTGTACACGTAAGTTATTCTTTTATCACCATTTTGTGATCTGCCGATGCGAACTATCAATGATTCTCTTAAATTATTTTATCATACAGAATTTATTTCGTCCGAAGTTCTTTTTCAGCAAATATTTCAATCAAAAATTGATACTATCAATCAATTTTGGCAAACTTTACAACTAATCAGATTAATTACTAATGTCAATGCATTAACAACTCCACCAGGATCAAATCACTCAACAAATTTTGAGACAAATATTCATTACATCGATTCAAACATTATTTTGAGACCAACAGCAACAATCAAACGAATAGGTAATCAACCATGCAGCTGTGTCACAGATTCAAGATGCCATCATTTAGTTGAATATCATAAAACTGGTTACATAATACTTATTGGTTGTTCTTTTTTTGAAACATTCTTATTGTCCAATTTGGCATGCTTTTTCAACTTTTCTTTCATCGAAAATATTATCAGACCAGCAGGATATGCTGATAAAATGGAACCATTAAATTCAACACTGCCGAGTTTATTCTCTCTAAATACTTCAATGGAAACCATAATGAGACATCTTATGATCGAAGATTGGCATTATTCACTGAATTATTCGAATTATTTCCAGCAATGCTATCCTGTTCAATGTACTTATACATATAGTGAACGGTACAACTTTCTGTATATGGTGACAATGTTTATGTCACTAATTGGCGGCCTATTGACGATATTAAAATTCATTTGTTCACTTTTAATTAAATATGCATCCCTGATTCATAAATGGATTATTAAGGGATTAACAGGAAGACAAGTAGAAGTTGTGACAGCGGTTTCACACGCCGATAATCCTGGTAAGCTATTTTTTCCGACGTTTAATTAAAATAGAATAAAACTCTTTTTTTTTTCTACATTATTTTACCATGCAACTACTAATAATAATCCGATAAAAAGATGACTGCAGCCTTTATAAAACAGGGTGTGGTTGTGGGTGTGAGTGTTAGATACGGAATTTTTCACTTATGAAACCCACACTCCACCCAGATTGTGAGATCATAAAATATGTTAAATTTTCGTATCGTAAGTAGAAATAATTACTTAAAATTGTACTCTTATAGGTTTTATACAGAAATAACAACTTGATAATAACATCTATCATATGAGAAAAGTCAATCAATAATGAAGTTATCCGAAAAAAATAATTGTTATCATCAATCTTTGCGACATCTGATACATTTATTAATTCATCGTTTTCAATGAAATATCTATTAGTTGGTACCAAGTATTTTCATCAAAAATAATAAATAATTAAAAATGTTTAGCTAGTCACCAAAAACACATTAAAAAGGTGAAAGTTTCATTAACTTTGAGCATTTAATAATAAAAATTCTGTTAGAAAACTGTTAATCTTAAATTGTTTTAACGTCTTTTTGTCGAGTAATCCAACATTTCAAAAATTTTACATGGTGAGGTATGTAAATGTCGTTTCGGCTATTCATGGGTACTAGCACTATTCATCACAGAGAACTCGTTGCCAGACAATTCATTACAATGACATAATCCAATTATAGTTTAGATATATATTTGTTAACTATGAAATGATTCATTCAATTAAGTTTGAAACATGTAGTCAAATGAGTATAAAGATTATTGCAAATATTAATCACGACTAGAGTTTAATCTTTAACCTTGAACAGTAAGATAATCTTCTTGTTCGAGTAAAAAGTCACATTATTCGAGTTATACAAATGCCGAGACTTTTCCTATACCAGTCAATGTGACACTGCGTCTTTCTTTTATTTCACACTATAGGTCAGAACTTCTCACAATGAGAAAATACTTTAAAAGAACTAGCAAAACTTTACGTTCAGCAAAACCAACTCCTTTGATGTTATCAGAAAAAAATATTAACGATTATCTTTTGTTAAATGTTCGCATTTGACGTACATATTCTGATAGTTGAAGGATCATCACCAGTTATTTATATATTGAGAATTAAATGAATCGGACTCAATCGATAATTCATAAACTGTTACAAGCATTTCTGATAATACATCGTAATCGAAGGTTTTTACATCCTACTGAGCTTAATCTAGAAATAAGAAATGGATTCGATTCTTTTCTCTGGCCAGAATTCCTGATAATGGGACAATCTGAGGTCAAAAATCGAAGTTTATTCAAATATTAATATTTCAAATAATTTTTATAGTCATTCAATTATATGTTGTAAATCTAACTGGATAAATCCTTTCACTGTCAACAAGTAGAGGTAAAATACGATTGGATTATATCATTCCAACGAATTATTCTGTGCCATCTGAGGAGTCAAAGTATGAGTGAACGAAAAGTCGAAGAAGCTATTTAAAACTTACATAGATCAACTCTGTTTCTCTAGTGCTGATTTTAAATACGAAACTGTTCTGAAGTCACACGAGATCCTTCGATTGAAAAATCATCGAATATTCGTCGAAAAAGACGCGAATTAGTTTTCAAATATAGAGTTTAGAGCAAAAGTCCTTCAATAGATATCGAATATCACGTCGAAAACAGTATGATCAAGAAGAGTACATTGAATTACGTATTCGATTATAAAATCTCACTAATACATTTGTAGAAAGTTTAATTTCATAAGGTAAAAAATCATTATGAGGAACAATATGACTCTATCAGGAAAGTATTTGACAATTATTCATAGAAGAAATTTTTCTTCTAACAAGTTCTTTTATATTATAATTAAGGAAAAGCTAATGCATCAAATGAACCTATTTTCGACATAAATTTACAGCATTTCAATAGACTTTCAGGTCAAAAAGTGGATTTTAGAGCTTTCAGAGAATGCTTTAGATCTTTCTTATTATCTAGATAATTTTGTCAAAAAATGTGATATTTGTAATCAGAGTATTTGATCCTATCAAACTATAAAGACTTACAAGAGAATAACGAGAAAAAATTTTCATCGATACCTGAGGAAGGACCTCAGGTGTGAGAAATCAAGTTGGGATAAAATATAAAATAAACTTTTGAAAAATAATCAGGAATCAATGGTAATTCTCAGACTAATAAAATTAAGTTCAAATCGTTTGAAAAGCTAGGTTCATAGTTTGACACAATTTTTTCATATATTTAAATGTCATTAAAGAGAAAAATCCGATTTTGGATCGAATACAATTTTTTTCTCTAATGAATTGTTTCTGTGTGTACCCATTCTTTAATCGATTAGCATTTAGAAATTTTTATATTTCTGTCTAGAGCAAAAATTATCATCTATAGAACGTCTCCGACTGAAACTTATCGACACGTTAGGTAATTTGAACCTGTTTCGGAGTGAAGTTCCTTCGAATGTACAAACTGAACGGTGAATAACTTGTTGTTATATATTTCTATTCACAATGACATCGGTGATTCTAATTATGTACACATTTGTTATTGAACAAACGATTATTGTTGTTGTTCAAAAACCAACATTGAAGCAATACGAACATTTGTTAGATCAACATGAAGGATTATATTGTCCATATACTCGAATATCAATACAGTATTCTGAATTTATAAAAATGAATCCTAGATTTCATCAACTTTGTTCAAGTGATTTTACTTCGATACAATGGATTCAGTATCTTTTTGACGATAGAAATTATTCTAATCCATATCTTTTCGGAGGTGTATATCAAAATTCTTTTTGGGATCGAATATCTAACTATGATCAGTTAGATTTTAGAACTCTCGCAATATCTCAATTTTATTTTCTTTCTCAACTATGTCGATTTTCACAAGAGGTTGTCCAGGCTGCATTGATTGCATTCCAAAAGCAAACTTTTATCAATAGTCAAGCAATGTCTCGATCGTTATTTGATATTGAATTTCGCTTGGTTATCGAAAGATTTCAATTACAAATACCATTAAAAATGTTGAGAGAGATTCAATTGATAACTGGTTTAATTCAAGCTAATGCTTTGCAGTCAAACTACGAATCAAATTGGGTATATCAAGTTAATCGAACAGGTACAGGATTTGATGTGCGTTATGATGTCTCTGTTATCCCTCGTCAATTTAGCAATTGTAATTGTCGCACATCATCAAATTGTCGTCAACTATCATCAATGCGTAGTAAGAATGGAACAATTTTATTCGCCATACCTGGTTTTTATGTTGGTTGTCTATCTAGTGAAGCATTGATTCAATCAACAATGGAATGTTTCTATAATCAATCGTGTATAGATCAAATTCAATCGCACATTGATTATCAGCAAGTTCCTTTGAATATAACGCCATTAATCATACTAGAATCAAGTCGATACTCGCCTGAAACAACCATTGAAGAAATGCTAAAAAATTTGTTTGTTGAACAATGGGATTCACAAACTTACTTTGAACAGTATTATCATCAGTGTCAACTTACCTATTGTCAATATCAATATATAGAGCAAAATAGTGTCAGTAGTATTACAAAATTAACTAGGTTAGTGGGTGGTCTCAATCCAGCATTTCGATTAATAACACCAATCTTAGTAATCAGTTTTCTTCATATAAAGCGAAAACTTTTCAAAGCCAAGAATATAGCTATTTCTAGGAAAGACATAGTACCTTGACATGTTGATCATATCCAATAGACTTAATTTTTTTCGAAATGTTCAGAATCTTCAAACCAATATTGAGATCAATTCATTCACATCAAAGAGGCAAATCTGAAAGGACACAATCGATATAACACCAATGTGTCAATGGGTATATCATTTAATCTGATATCTTTCCTTTCTCTATATGTTGTTATACAGTCGATATTAGTTTGCATAATCGCATTGCTCTTACGCTTATGTATGTATGGTTGAGCCTCATTCTCTATGTGTCGCAATGTGCTTTTCATGCTTTATCTTTTTCCATTCTCCTCTTCCGTATATAAACGTTTGCTTTGTATGAAATATACATAATAGATGTGATAAAGAAATGTAGCAAACATCTATACCGAGGATAGCAGTAACACTACTTCTCCAGTTTGTCATTATGGTCATAATAAAATAAAAGCTGTAGCAGTCATCAAATATTCCATCGTGCATAATTCTTTACAGTTAGTAAGTGACTTGTATTGCTTTTTTCATCTGTACAATTTTTAAACGGCACTAATCAAACAACATACATCAGAAAAAATTGTCTTCTCCCTTCGCCATGATTTAGCTACAATAAAAGCAATACATGTGATATACAGAATGATCCAAAGGTCTATGAGTATTCCTTCAATGCTTAATTACTTCAATCTCTACTCGCTACTCCTTCTGATTTTGTCATGTATACCGAATAATGCTTTATTCAATAGAATCCAAACAAAAATCAACTACTAATCTTGTTCACGATGTCCATCGTCACTAAGAAAGCTTTTTTTAAAAACACAACCAGTCGACAGACTTTTTGGAACAGAATGATTCAAAAGATGAAATAATTATGTCCATTCTTATGATATAATACTGATATTAACTATGAAACTACTTTTGATTTTCTTTCGAAGCCCAACCGATCTCATCCTTGTTTCTTGCTTTTTCGATAGTATGGTACGTTTTGTATTTTTTTTCTGAGAAATTACTCAAACTTACTCAACAACGTTGATGGATATCGAAAAGAAGAAAAAGGAAAACCTTTGAGTAAAAGTTTCGTGATATTTTTTTCATTCATTATCTTGGAAACAATGTGAAGGGGCAAAAGTATTCGTAATAAAACTAGTCTTCTCACGAAAAGATCTTAGAAACATCAAAATAGAATGAGAAGGGTGTGGGTGCGGGTATGGGGCTGTATGTGCGTAAATCTCCTGTTCAGTCATACCCATGCCACGCCCACCCACCCACACCCACACCCACACCCACACCCACACCCACACCCACACCCACACCCACACCCACCCACACCCCAACCACATCCCACACCCCACACCCACCCCGTTTTGCATCGAGTCCACCATTTTTTTTCGAATATTTTTTTACCATTTTGTAGAGAAAAAAAAGCTGCATAACGTATGTAAAATTCAGCTTAGACCCTCTTGATTCTGAAACACAGCAGCAGATACATTATTGTATATGGATTGATCACAAAGACTTCCTTTAACTCATGTTGGCTTTATAAAACTCGAGTTGCTAAACATTATGTTACCTCCATGTAGGTCATTCTGTTCAGTTTTTAATTCTCTATCTTTTGATGTATACCATAAACAATTTCAATGATACGTTGAAATGCACGCTGGCATAGCCTTTATAGAGCTTTTTTTTCTCAAAAACGTATGATAGTGGCAAAAGTCGGTATTGGCTAACTTTTCATAGGAAAGATATTAGAACATAAAATTTTGGAGTTGGTGGTTTTAGACATTGATGCGTTGAATGAACAGAAAAAAATCGAAAAAACTTTTTATCGAATGTCTCGTATACTCGACCCACTCATGGATCCTCTTTTGAGAAATGTTCGAAAACACAGTTTTGTATATGCTGTCGTTCGCGGAAAACGGCTTGTTTACAAACGAGCACTATGAAATTCACAATTTGATTACTCAATAGAAATAATGGCACTCCAAGCATCTTTTCTCCTTACCTTACCTTTGATCGAGTATGTTATTTTCAAAATATATGCGTTGTTGCAATGGTCTGAGGCATGTAACTATGAAGGCTGTTTTTGTTTGCATTGTATATCTCACGTTTGATGGATCATATTCTAATGGAAGAAGAAAGAAAGAAAAACAAGTGATTGTTAAAAAAAAACAGCGCAAAAAGGGTGGGAGTCTCAAATTTGTCATCATCGATAAATAGCGATTATAGATAAAAATTGCAAAATTTGTCATGTTTAATACATTCAAGCGTGCCAAGAATGGTCAATAACGAAATATATGTCATGCTTCTCAACACATTGCTAAAAACAAAGGCTTCATATTTTACTTTTTTGTTACAGAATACATTCTAACATGCTTCTTTTGTGTTCATGAGTTTTTTTTTCGTGCTATAATTACATATTGTTCCCTCTGGCATAACAGAAAATCAATAGTTCATATAAGATTTTCAAGACATCTAGCATGGATGTGTTTTTCTTTTATTATCTAATAACTGTCATAAAGAGTTTGTTATGAAATATTTGACAGATGAATTAACTATGAACAGAGAAAAATAGCAAATCGAAAACTAATTGATTTAAATGTTGTGAGCTGTCGATTACTTTCCTTCAATAAAGATATAGTAAGACAATGAATGTGCGCATATATAATATGATGGTGTTCTAATGAACACAATGAGAATTCAATATATTATATAATTGTCACCAACGATTTCTCATATGTCAAATCTGTACTGTCATCAATATCATTTATATTGAAATTCATGTGGCACAAAATATTGCATGATTTTGTTGGTGAAGCGAAATGTACAGAAAACTGGAAGAATATTTTTCAGAATAGCACTATACAGATCAAATTCTATGAAAATTCATTTTTTTATAGAAAGACGAAAAAAGGTAACGCTCGTGATGCTGTTTACGAAAGAGTTAATAGCTTATACTGTTTATCAATTCCTCAAGCGCTCTGGACTTTTCTATTAACGAATAATGTCAATGTTTGCTTTCATTGAATTAATCAATCCTGCTGACGCTAAAAGTTTAAATTTCAATTTAAATGGCGTATTATGAAAATAGTATTTTGTTGATGCTTTCGTCTGGCTTTCAGAGTATTAAACGTCATGTGCTCGATGGATTGGAGAGATATTCGTCGAAAATAAAACAGAAAAGAATTTAAAAATTCAATGCACAACAATAATAATAGAACAAAAGACGGAGACAGTATAAAAGTTGTTGCTTTCTCAGCAAATTTTTCATTTGCGTAGACAAATAGCCAAAAGTGACGCTTATTAATTGAAGTTATGGGTAGCACTAGCAAAAGTCTTGGCCTATTGCTGCTCATCGTTATTCAATCAGCAAGTAAGTTACAGTTTTAGAAAACGTTTTCTTCATTTTGATGAAGTTTTGTTTTACGATTCACTGTAATTAAAAAAAAAAGTAGAATTATATCAAATTCCATGTTGAAAGATTTATCGATTTATGAGCTATTAACATTTTACTACGTGTTATCAGCTGTGTTTGCAAAAAAATTCAAAAGGCTTGATTATTTGAAAAGCCGTAGCAGGAGACTCTGAAAAAAGTAACTAGGAAAAATTTGATATTCAAAACTGGATGAAGTTGTATCTCTTGTTTTAAATGTTGAAATCACTGATCTGTATATGAATTCTATTAAATATCATTTGAAACATACTCATCTTTGTTTTATTTTCAAATGAATAACAGTTCTAGAGGTTGTCTCATCGTCAGAAGGATATTACATACCATAGAAATCGGTAAAGATACGATCGCAAGTCGATCTATGAGTTCAGATCTAGATTATGATACTTATACAAAGATTTCTTGTTGTTGATGAAACAAGATCGTCATAATGTTAGTAATAAATCCATTGAAATTACATTGGATTTTTCGTTCTATCGTAATAATCATGGAGATAAAAATGATGAAATAGAATGAAAATTGTGTTCTTTGAATAAGAAAATATTCTTACGATCAAATGTGATACTTGAATTCATTGGCAATCTAGAAGAGACTGGTATATATGGAAATTTCTAATGAATCTCTATTATTGCTAGAGATTGTGTAAATCTAGTGTGTGTTTGAATTTCATCTGTGAACTTTTGGGAAGATTGCACATTTTCTTTTGTTTGTTATTGATAAGCATTACATTTCAAACTAAAACAGACGATCAGTGTTGGTCGAATATCTCCGTAACAGCTAGAGCAAGAGACCTGCCGTTTTTTTTTATTCGGTAGCCCTGTATGGGGCAAGTAAAATATCTGCTATGGGCGAAAATTTTCGAGCTTTTCTTGAGGGACTTTTAGGACTTTTTCTGAAGAAAATTGAGGTTTTAAACTGTTAGACAGTTCTATTTTGATACCCAATTATTACAAACGGTATGCCACACTACTCTCTATATTTAGAAAAAATCGCACCTGCCTACGATGCACCGTTGAAAAACGTGAGCCACCCTTCTGAGAGCTAGGAAAATACTATTTTCAGTTATTTTGACCACTTTTCCTCAATTTATTCAATAGTAATTAATCAACGAAATCCATATTTGGAATTGGTGTGAAAAACTTCATTGTGCCAACTGTGGTGGAGCTTAATTTATAGAACTTCATTTTTCTCGCCACGAAGCCACATCAGACTGTCGCTCAGCAGGTACATATGACAGAAAAATGAAGCTCTATAAATTAAGCTTAATCACAGTTGACACAATGCAGTTTTTTCATACTGATTCCAAATATGGATTTTGTTGATCAATTACTATTGAATAAATTGAGGAAAAGTGGTCAAAATAACTGAAAATACCATTTTCCCAGCTCTCAGAAGGATTGCTCACGTTTTGCAACGTACATCGTAGATAGATGCGATTTTTTCTAAATATAGAGAATAGTGTGGGATATCGTTTGCAATAATTGGGTGTCAAAATAGAACTGTCTAACAGTTTAAAACCTAATTTTTTTTCAGAAAAAGTCCTAAAAGTTCCTCAAGAAAAGCTTGAAAATTTTCGCCCATGGCAGGTATTTTACTTGCCCCATACAGGTCCATCGAATAAAAAAGCCGCAGGTCTCTAGCTCTAGCTGCTACGGAGATATTCGATCAACACTGACCGTCTCATTTAATTTGAAATGGACAATAATAACTGTACTGTTTTGATTTATTCTTTGAGTTGTAGTCAATGCAACGACAATATCTCATGTTACGACTCGCATGAGCGGTACTCAGCAGTACAGGAATGGTAGTACCGAAGGTGGTACTCTCTTATGGATCTATGGAACTGGTTTTGCACCGAATGCTTTCAGTACAGAACCATCAACAGCAAGATCAAATACAATACAGTTGATTAGAGGCAATGATACTTATGACTGTGAAGGGAGTATTGAAAGAGTGACAGATACTCAGTTGGCATGCTACACTCCACCAATGTCTCCAGGTGAATATCTAGTCCGCGTCTATGTTGAAGGGAATCTGGTTCCACTCAGTCAATACAGTTCAACAAATTCGGCTACTTTTATAGCTAGCCCTAGTAATACACCTCAAATTACGAACATATCACCGACATCAGGCTTACCACAACGATTAGTTTCATTAAAGGGTGACTTCAAAACGAATTGTTACCTACGTGACATGGAAGGTTGCTCTGAAGCAAATGTCTCAGTCATTTCTCGGTAGAAAATACTTGAATCAATTAGTCTTGATATGTTTTCAATAAAAATACATTTAGAATATATATCGGTGGTCAACTCTGCAATCTGTTCGATATTGAACACGACGGCTAGTAAGTTTAAATTTATGTGATAAGATCGAACTATGATTAGACCAGTGACATCTGGTTCTTTTTCTTCACACTTAGTAGGCCAAATAATCCTTTCTTTTCATATGAACGATACCTAAGGTCAATGAGTCATTAGTAAGTTTGTTCACTAAATGTTTTTGATGCGAGATAAACAACGAATCACTATACACACATCTCAAAATACAAGAACTTCATAGAATTCCAGGTTGTCACGCGTCTAGTATCTGACTTCGATTGTTTTTTAAATGAACTGAAGGAACTATCAGAAATCTAATTCGAATCTATTGAATTTTAGCTATTCCATTCTGAATAATAGCCAACTTGAATGTCGTTTTGAGAGCAATGAAGTGGGTAAGCCAATAACGCTCTTTTTCTTCGTCAACTTACCAAATAAAATTTGTCTCGAATGTTTTTTTTTTGATCGATAGGAGTGTTCAATGTGAGTATGCTGGTTTCAAATGAATATGGTCGTTCGTCGACAAACATGAGTCTATATCGAATGTCTGGCACTGGTCAACTACACAATTTTGAAACTTATGCTGGTTTGCGATTTTTTCTCTATCTATCTATTCGATTATTCTAGTTGTTCTTTTATTCTTATTAGTTGTAACGGATATCTCATCTGACACTGGAAGTATCGAAGGTGGTACAATCTTAACAATTAATGGAGAATATTTCAGTGAAAGTAATCAATATCCACTGGCCGTCAATGTTGGTGATGAGTCATGCAATATCATCAGTTCTGAATTGACTTTTATTCAATGTCAAACATCAACAACGCCCGTTAACAATCGCAATCATTATCGTGGTAAGTCGATTATCAAAGGAAATGAATTATTCTCTAAATATATATAGGTGGCCGTGGCCTACACATCTTCTATCAACCTGGTTTCACTAGTTTAGTATGTTAAACACTAGTTATTGTTCTTCTATACATCAGTTAATCTTTTTTTTTCTTAACTATTATCAAGACGAGTTTAGGCAATGCGAATCCTCCAATGCCCAGTGCCACTGCCAATCGAACATGGACAGGAGAAGCTTCATTTTCCTCTAATTTTCCATCTGGTGCTACCGTATGGTTCATTGGATTTCTACGTACACCAATGACGGCTGCATTCAATTTTCGGTTGGAAACCAATTCTCAAGCCATATTATATCTGAGCAGTGATGAAGATCCTACTAACAAAGCACGAATTGCCACGAACTCAGCCCCAAATTCAAACAGAATTGTACTACAAAATAATACTGAGTGAGTGAAAGAGCGATGATCAATATATCGACGATATTCATTGTTTGCTTTTACATAGCTATTACATGCTTTGTGTGGGCTCCACTTCGATGGGCAATTTTCGTTTAGAAATAAAAACAGCTATGCAACCATTGAATGCAAGGGCAGGAATGAGCTCATCCGGTACGAGTGAAATTCAACGTATTACCATTGGTGCTCCCGTTACGAATGAACAGCAGGTAATTTAAAATGAGTTATCAAAAAGTTTTTAAACTTAAGTTTAAGAAAAAAAATCTACTACACATTTTCTCTCATGCTAAAACATGTTCTTTCAAAGGTAAAACATTCGTGCACAAAAGAAAACTGCTATCAAAAGGTATTCTCTAATGCTTTTTTTGTACGTATAAAATCAAATCAACAAATAGCTTTATCACTAGAATATTGGATCATATTGACTATAGATATGAAGCAAGACTGATTTGGTTTTCACAGATAAAAATATTCTACTTCATCGTTCTAGAAGATCGAAAAGACATTTATTACATAAATATATTTTACTGTCGACTAATGATTATCAATTGTTTAAGACTCTCATTTTCAAATGATTTACAACATGAAAATACATATATTTAAGTATTGTGTTTTCTTTTTTAGCGTATTGTCTATATGACTAATTTGGCTACCGCTGGAGTCGCTGAAGTTCAAGATGTAGAAGCTGTTTTTGAAATATTTCAAATCGGATTTGAAGGAGTGTATACAGGTTGGTTCTCTCATATTCTTTAATTTCTTTTTTTAATGAAATGTTCAATTCATTATCAAAAATGTAGGACTTCTTGATGGTCCACCACCTCCGCAAGATATTCAGGATGCTCTCAATGATTTGCCGACAATCTTTCCGTTATCTGTTACGGTCGTACTCGTAGGCACGGCATATCGAGTCACATTTCCAGTCGAAATGGGCGATGTTTCACCATTTACTGTCATATCCGCAGCATACAATCAAACGCAGAGAGCAACCGAAATAGTACAAGGCATTCCGTCGAATTCGAAGATAGCCTTTCAGCTCGATGGAGCAACAACAAGCTACTTGAATTTTCGAGATGATAATATAACAGATGCTATACTAAGAGATGAGTTTATGAATTTGTTCAATATTCGATGTCCACCGTCATTGAATAATCCACTTACAACACCATCTATTGTTTATACGGAGGAATTTGAAGCCACAGGCTCATTCGATGAGTCTTTCGATATTAAAGATATGGCCTTCTGTGGACGTGGTGCACTAAGAAACTCAAGTCAAAATCTTATCTATGGAAACACATTGATTGCAGATTACATGTGCTTTGCTTATAAGATCGTTATAGGAGGATCGATTACTATAAACTTTCTAATTGAAAACGATGGAAATCCACCAGTTCTCGAAAATATTCCTATGAATCTAAGAGCAGATTCACGTTGGCACTATACATGCATCAATCTACGTGACACACTTGAACAGTATTCTTTTATGTATTTAACTGTTACATCGTTTGTAATTCTTCAAGCCAATCTCAGTTATTTCGCTCCATTAACTATCATGATTGATACAGTGACATTACGTAATACCTTACCTATCGGCTATGAGGATGACAATATGATTATGTCAACCGATCAATCATCCATAGGTCCATGTACATTTCCATTTTTTTACAACGGTAAAAATCATTCATCATGTGTACTTGACGATTATAATCTGCCTATATGTGGTTTAACTTCCAATAGAAGATTCTACTGTCAAAATTCATCTATTGAAGGCGTTCGACGACTCTATCCGAAATATCAGTTGTTAGATAATTCATTTCAAGCCAATCATATACCATCGAATAGTACTATTGATATTTCCTTTCGATATACAGCATGCATGTCACCATCATTGGTCAGAGTACTACCACCGGCTGTCAGTGAATAATATTTTTCATCAGCTCACAATTAAATCTAGTTTTTTTTTGTTTAGGTTGGTCAAGTAATTTCAATTAGAAATGCTTCAAAACCGGTCCGTGGCTATTATTCTATAATGTTCGATGGACAAATATATTCTCCGATTCCGGTAGCAATAAGTGGATCCAATTTAGCCAATGTACTTCAATCATTCTCCGATTTCGGTTACGTAAATGTAAGTCGCACGGGAGAATGTTATCAGTACGCATACACGATTCAATGGTTAGTCAATGGTGAGCAACCACTCATTTCAATAGCGAATTCGTCTCAAGTGACACCAATCAATACACCAATGATTGTTTCGTCCATACAACGTGGTAGTACTATCAATGTATTCTACAATCTACCAAATGATATACTACGAACCTACCATATGACACCTCAGGTCAGTTTCTTTCCATACTCGTGATTTTCATATCTGATTGTATTTATAGGTAGAAGTACTTGTGGGTGGTTATCCGTCTTATTGTTCCAAAGAGAATAACAGTTGTGAATTTCAACGGTCAATTAGCGATACACCTCAGATTACATCTGTCGAGCAGAATGGAACAACAGTAACTATTCGTGGTACTGGATTTAGTATGAATTTCGAGTCTAACATGATTTCAATTGGTGAAAGTGGCTCGTGTACCGTACAAGCAGTGAGTGTAACATCAATTCAATGCACTATTATCAACGCACCTTCAGGTCGACACATTCTACAACTCAACGTTGCTAATAAAGGTCTTGCTTCAAGTAACGATATTTATATGGTTAATGTGCCGTTATTTATCACTTCATTTGAACCAAATGGAGGAGACTCCGGTGGAGGTTATACATTGACAGTTGTTGGAGGTGGATTTTCATCGAATGCTCTAATCACTCTGGGCGAAAATTTTTGTATAAATGTGATCGTCATCAGTTTCACTACCATCCAATGTATCGTTCCTCCAAGTAGCAGTGGAAGCTTAACTCAAGTAAGGGTAACTGTCATTGATAGTACGAATTCAGCTATGGCAACTGTACAATTCACATACAATGTAACAATTGCACCAACTATTCATTCTATCAATCCAACGTATGTGACAATGAGTGGTGGATTATTAGAGATTAATGGTACCGGATTTGGCAATCGTGATATTTCCGTTTTTGTTGTTACGAAAAATGCTCGTATTTTAGCCTCATCAAACAATCATATTCTAGTGAGTTTGAGTGCACTACCACCCGGACTCTATCCAATCACAGTTCGTACGTCAATGGGTTTTGCACGACCTCTCTTTCATATTGAATATCGATTCTATATACAACAAATATCACCACAAGTTGGCTCAGCCTACGGCGGCACTGATATTTATCTTAATGGCAAAGGTTTCGAAAATGGAACACGTATTCAACTTCGTGATCGAAATAATCGCATTGCTCCTTGCAATATTCTTTCAGTTCAATCGAATCAAATTCATTGTCGAACAACGTCACCTTCTCGTCAAGTGACAATCACATCGTATGGCACCCATCCAACATATGGATTTGGTTATTCGTGGTTTCCTATTCGTGAAACAGTACAACAAGGAACTATTGTTACATGGTATTGGGATTCAGCTCAACTTCTTTCACCAGTTTATTACAAAGTACAACAAGTTGCCAACGCATACAGTACCACACCAGTACCAAGCGGATTTGATTCGGGTCCAGTAACGTCTTCTGGTAAGTAATAATTTATCAAAAGAACATGAACTTTACCTATCTCGTTTTTATAGGTTCATTTTCTCATCAATTCGATACCTTGGGTACTTTCTATTATTGGGCGCCGAATGTCCATCAATCTAGTGGATATTCCATGCGAGGTACCATTGATGTTGTAGTTCGAGAATCTGAAACAATGACTGTAGAAGCCGTTTGGGATAAATTTACTGGTAAGTTTCAATTCGATAGACGTTTATTTTCAAGACAAATTTGTTTTTATGCTTTAGCTCAAACATGTACATTTCCATTTATTTTTAATTCGGTTAATTATACGGCATGTACTGCGGCGAATGATACGCAATTATGGTGCTCGCCAACACCCATCTACACAGGACAAAGACTCTATTGCACTCCAACAGGTATATTCATCGCTCACTTAGAAGATAAAGAATATGTTTATCTTTATGAAAATATCATACAAAGTTTTTAGTAATATTGTGTTATTCTTTAAAAGAAACTATTCATGACAATAGTTTATTATTGAAACTCGAAGAAAACTACTAACTAGAATTGTCATTTTCGTTTCTTGATGGACAAGGTCTATGATGTAAAGAGCAGATATATTGTATAGAATCCCCCAAAAGAACTGAAGTTTTCGCTCGTAAGTTAATTCTTTTCATATTCAAGTTGTGTCTATTGTATATCATAATAAATTTCAATCAAATCTATGTTTTTCTTTATGTTTAGTTCCGATACCTAATCCATCCTGCTCTTGGACTACTCTTAATGTGAGTTCATGTTCTGAATCCATACCAACATCATCTAATCCGACTCAATTTCTTTCTACAACATGTACGATCGAATCGATTACAGGCATATCACCTACGGAAGGCACTGTTGGAACTGAATTAACAATCACAGGTTTCGTATTTCTTGATGTTTTTTGTGTTTATTATTAGCTATTTATTATAGGCACACACTTCAGTGGAAATATGTGTGATTATGATATTCAAATAGGATCATCCTATCATTGTCCTATCATAAACATGTCATCGACTGAACTTCTTTGTCAGATTACAACATACTCTATGCTAGATCCGAGAACAGACCATATTGTTCGTGTTGCTCGTTATCGTCAAGGCTATCTTGCTAATCAAAATCAAATGCGATTTAGATTTCTACCATCAATCTCAAACATTACTCCTATGATCGGTAGATTTTTCTGAGATATGTTTTTGTAAAAATAATTGATTGTTTTTTTTGTCGACCGTTTTGTTTTTAGGTTCAATTTATGGTGGTACTCATGTGACAATCGATGGAGAAGGTTTCATATCCGATGATACACTCGTGTTTATCGGTGGTACCAATTATACACATCGAGGATCTGTATCCTATTCACAAATCATCTTCATTACTCCACCAGAGTTAACATATGTGAATTTGAATATAAACGTATTCGTTTATGTTCGTACGAGTCAGTCAGTATGTCTTATGCCATCGTGCCATTTCTCTTGGACAACAAGTGTTACGCCGTACTTTAATTCAGTGAATCCGTTACACATCCGTGGCACTATGAATTTAACTATTACCGGCCAAAATTTGATTAGTGGTGGAACAACATTGGCCAATGTTCATGTGAATATCCATGACAATGCTTGTAATATCACACAGATGAGCAATAATTCGATTGCATGTACAGTAAGTGGTATCGAAGCTGGTGAACATCGTATCGATGCATTCATTGATGGTTTGTTATTTACGACTAGACAATATGATTGAATGCATGAATTTTTTTGCAATTTCAGGTATTGGTAATGTTTATTCATTGTTGAATATTACATCTGATGCCGTTGTGTCGACGGTAACACCTGTCAGTAGTAGTGTTCATGGTGGTGCTACATTAACCATTGATGGCCATGGCTTTTCGAACAATGCCAGTGAAATTCAAATTACGATTGGCTCAAATTCATGTCCTGTAATTGAAGCAATAGAGAGTCGAATTGAATGCACCATACCTCCTCAGGGTAGTAGTTCCAATACAGCTAACATTAGTATCAGTTCACATCAAATTTCTTTTCCATCTTCATTTATATTGAATTACAACAACACAATAACACCAAATATCACTTCTGTAAGTCCAACTTTTGGCAGTAACTCACAAGTTTTAGTTATTACGGGACATAACTTTGTTGGTACTGGACAAACCGATGTTACCGTAGGAGATACTCCTTGCAATATCACTACACGTTCAATGGGATCCATTACATGCACAGTTGGCTCGAGTCTATCAGCTGGCAATCATACAATTAATGTTCATGTAGACGATATTGGAGATTCTAATGAAGATATTGTCTATAGACATGATCTTTCCATTACAAGTATAACACCATCGGAAGGAGGCTATGGTGGTGGTATATCAAGTACGATTCGTGGCAATGGATTCAAGGGAACTGATGTCGACGTGAATGTATGTAATAAATCTTGTTTATCAATACAAATTGAATCTAATGATCAACTCACCTGTGTGACACCTCCGATATCTATGGCTTCAATGAATACTGTGTGCAATATGACAGTGGATGTTGATGGCATCAGAAAAAATACAGTATTCACCTATAAAATTAATTTGACCGCAACGGTAACATCAGTGAGTCCAAGTCGAGGTGGAACTGGTGGTGGAACAACAATTACAATTAATGGAACCGATTTTCCGTGAGTCTTTCGAATTTTACATCCTTTTTATAAAGACTTTTTCCGTTTAGAACTTCGATAAATGCTGTAACAGTAACTATTAATGATATACCGTGCTCCGTGCAAACAGTCACAACAACAAGTATTACCTGTGAGACAGGTAGTCATCGATATTCAAGTGTACGAGCTCCAATCATGGTATCTATCAATGGCAGTGGTTATGCTATTGGTTCAGTTTACTTTCAATACATCGATCTTTGGTCAAGTCCATGGACATGGGGTGGTGATGAACCACCGGAAGCTGGTACACTTGTGGTGATTGAAAATCAGGAGACTATCTATTTGGATATTGAGACACCTATTTTGAAAGTACTTGTCATTGATAATGCTACATTGATCTTCGATGATTTTCAAGATGTTGCTTTGAATGTCGAATATATTGTCATTGTTAATGGTGGTCGTCTTGCAGTTGGAACAGAATCAAATCCATTTCAACATCGTGGTGTCATCAACATGTATGGACACTTACGATCGATTGAATTACCTATTTGTAAGTGATATTCATTTTTGTATTATCATCTTCTAAGATTTGTTGTCGGTTAGATGGTGCTAAAGTATTGGCTATTCGTGAAGGTACGTTGGACATGCACGGAATACCTACTATTCGAATTTGGACACGATTGGGAGCAACAGCTAGCAATGGTTCATCAACAATCACTCTTTTGCAACCTGTCAATTGGACTGTCGACAGTCAAATTGTTATTGCAACTACAAGTGATCGTTTTAGTCAGAAAGAAAGTGAAATTCGTCGTATTAAGAATATTTCATCGAATGGGTTAATATTAACTCTGGATAAACCATTAACATATACCCATTTAGGTATTACACAAATGTTGAATTCAACAACTGTTGAAATTCGTGGTGAAGTGGGTCTTCTTTCGCACAACGTCATCTTTCAAGGTTTCTAGAGATGAAAATTTACGTATATTTTATAAGATAGAATAATTTTCTTGTTTAGGTTCCATTACTGAAACATGGGATGAAATTATAGAAGCATGCCCAGCTGGATTCAATCCAGGTAAAATAAGATTGAATAAGTTGATCATTACTGAAAAACAATTAAGATTCAATGTCTTCAAAATATAGAAATTATAATAACTTTATTTTCAGACGAATTTGCCGTACAGACATGTTTTCTTGGTCGATATGGACAAGAGATCGGTTCTGATCAGTTCGGTGCAATGATTATGGTTAGCCAGGATGATAATATTACCAATAGTAGTCAACGAGTTGCTGTTCGTCTATCGAATGTCGAAGTAAAGCATTGCTTGTTGTGCTGCTTTTCATTTCTCTGATTTTTACGCGATAGGTTTTTCATGTTGGTCAAGCATTTCGTCTTGATCGTTATGCAATACATTTTCAGAGAAATGGTAATATGAGTGAATCCTATGTAAAATCATCGTCTATTCATGAATCATTCAACCGAGCTATTCACATTCAAGCTAGCAATTATATCACCATTGAGGACAATGTTATCTATAATATCATGTATGAGTTTGATATTTAGTAAGATATTTACTAATTATTTGTGTTGAATGTATGAATAGGGGAAATGCAATGTTTTTATCGGATGGTATTGAGGTTGGACATGTTTTTCGAGGCAATCTGGCCATTTTTGTTCGAACAAGTTCGAGTCTTCTTAATGAAGATCTTACACCAGCAGCATTTTGGGTAAGATATAATTATCTGACGAAATTTACTTGAAAAGTTATTTATGTATATAGTTGAGCAATCCCAATAATTTTGTCGAATTCAATGCGGTAGCTGGCACGACTCATTATGGTTATTGGTATCGATTCGATAATAAACCTGAAGGATTTTCACTTCAAACCTATCCTGATTACTGTCCCAATCGACAACCTTTTGGTAGCTTCTACAATAATAGTGTGCATAGTACGGGTCGATTTGGAGTTTGGATCTATCCTGAATATGCTCCAACAATGTTCGGTGATTGTAATGGTACTTATCCAACGCAAGCAACAATTGAAGGTTTGATTGCGTGGAAAAATAATAAAGGAATCGAAGTAGTCATGTCTCGCACGATACAAATCAAGAATGCATTAGTTTTTGACAATGCTGACATGGGTATTGCCTACATTACAGCTGTCGGCCATCAAGAAACCAATCCACCATATTTACGTCCAACATTCTATGATGGTTTGAATGGCTCATTGGTAGTTGATAGTATAATTATCGGTGATGTCGGTATTTCTCCTACTCCAATCATACCAAAGACTGCTGGTCTTGTTGGTAAGTAAGCGATGTGAATGTAGAAAATATAAATCTAGGAGATATATGGTTCGGAAATCTATTTGTCAGATGCGAAAGAGAAGTAAAGATGACAAGTTTTGTTTTTATCTGTACTCTTTCTAGGACTGTTTTCTTCGTTGTCCTATTAATAATATGACAATGTCTATGTATGATTGATTTTTTTCTATGAGTCAGGTTGGTTTAGTCATACCCTTTGTCATTTATATTGTTCTAAATTATTACATCTTTGTTGATTGTTATAGTTATGTGGGATCGTGGCCTTCGTGTTCGGAATGTTGTTTTTATGAATTTTCCAAGTAATGAAACACGTGCTATATATGGACCAATCATCCTTGATCGATGTACTGATCGTTGCGGAGGTAGACGTGTACAAGATCATTCTATGCACTATTATGATTATTATTATTTATTTATATAGGTTGGCTAACATATTTCTCAAACATCTCATTTATCGATGTTACAGTTCGTGGCAAATTTCGATGGGCCTACGATGCTTTATACTATGATGAAGATGGTAGTTTGACTGGCCAATCCGACTCGGTCATCATGGCTCCAGATGGTCTTACTAATACATCCTTGACTTGTACGTTAGTATCAACGTTTGAAAATGCTATTCAATGCCCTCGATCACAAGGTGCTTGGTTACGATTTTCATTTCGTGAAATATTAGAAAGACCTTTGGGTCGACTATTTATTGATAATGATATGAATTCAACGACTATCGTGCCATGGCTTCGAGAACAGCTAACCTATCCAAATGGATATTTAGTTGTATTGCAAGCAAATCAATCGTACATATTGCGATTTGAAACAACTATAGTAAGCATATCTGATCATTTCTTTTTATAGAATTCTTTTATTGTGAATTTGGCTTTAATTAGACTTCTCAACAGATGAGATATACAGGTGTTGTTTACGATGTAGCTCCAGGTGATTATCTCATCATTCAGCATCGCATGAACGTTGCACCATATAAAGCGAATACAACAATCGATCGACAAATGATTTTAGGATCAATAACTCCACTATCGGCATCGACTAGTACGAATGGTGATTGGTACTATGACGGTGTTACTTCACTTTTTTCGTACATCAGTATATAGAAGCGTCACTTAATTTCTTCTTTTTGTTGTACATCATTTTTCATTTAGTTCTAAACCCATTAACGGCTAATGCAAGTGTCGACATAGAACTCTCATATCAAGTGTACATATGTCCATGTAATAGTTGTGGATGTCCTGTGACTACGACAACAACAACAACAACAACGACAGCAACAACAGCTTCAACAACATCAGCTACAACAGCGACGACAACAACAGCAACCACATCCACAACAACATCAGCAACAACATCGACGTCAACATCAGCAACAACAGAGACGACAACATCAGCAACAACAACCACAACCACATCAGCAACCACAACAACTTCCACTACGTCTACAACGGCTACTAGAACGACGACGACAACCACCATGTACCTGCCTCCAATACAACCTTGTAACGAATTACCAACAAGTCCGCAAGTGGTACGAGAGTTCTTTTGTAACTTTAGGAAAAAAAAACTCGCTCAGTACAAAATAATTTATCTAGAAAAATATTCAACGATCATGTTTCTAGTTAACTTTATTGATCTTTCTTTGTAGTGCCAAAGTATCGATATTAAATATTGGTCAGTCGATTCTCACTGGACATTTGGACCACAAGATTATATAAATTGGAGTAAGTTGTCTAATATCTATTATCTATATATTATCAAAAATACATTATAGTTGGTGTTAAACCTGATCATGACAATAATATCTTTGTTCCTCGGTGTATTTGGCTAATTATCGATTATCCACTTCCACGTATTCGAGCATTGAGAATTGATGGTGTCGTCGAATTTCAACAGGTATAAAAATCTTTCCTACGCGAATCTTTACGTGTTTACTAGCTTTTTTTTAGGGACGAAGTCATATAATGAATGTTGATAACATTATTATCAATGGTGGTCGGCTAATTGCTGGTAAATATCCTTGTTTCCAGGAGATTTTAGTTATTTTTATGGATCTCTAATAGGTTTACCGAATGCACCATTCAATGGTAGTGTCGATATAATTATGAAGAATAGTGGTCCAATTACTATACAATTGCCTCAAAATTATCCGATATTAGTGCCAAAAATGATCAGTGTTTTAGGTGGTATCGATTTACATGGTATCTCACATAGAATTACTTGGACACGTCTAGCTATGACCGCTGTATCAGGTCAAAATATCATTACTTTAAGTCAATCTGTTAATTGGGTTGTTGGCGATGAAATCATTATAACAACCACTGATACGAACATTTCTCATACTGAGCGACATCGTATTGTCAATATACAGAATGCAACAGTAATATATACAGCAACACCACTTGCTTATACTCATCTTGTTATTCAACATACATTCGTCAATGGACAAGTGATCAATGTGGCAGCTGCTGTCGGATTATTGACACGTAATGTACGTATAATTAATCAAAATTCGGGTTCTAGTTTGTCTGGATTTCGAATATTTATGACCGAATATCAAACAGATGTGTGGCATATTTACTCCAGTCGCTATTACAGTACATGCTACAGGGGTTATGCTCGAATATCGAATACACAATTTATTGGTTTCGGACAGTTAGACGATAGTTACAATACGGATCAACGATCAGGCATCTATATGAGTCGTCTTGGCGATTACAATCCAAACCGAGCTACTTTCATCAATGCTTCTTCATTCGATAGTGGATTCAATGCAGCGTAAGTATCCGAATATAATTAATTACTTTGCTTTATCATTTTCGATATCTACAGAATTAGTATGTTGGGTACCAATGGTATATCTATTGCAAATAATGTCATTTACAATACATATCGATCAGGTCTTGTTGTAACTGGAACGAACAATATCATTCAAAATAATCTCGTTACAACTGTCTATTGGTTGGGTACAGGTCAAATACCATCGGTAGCCGAATTCAATTTCAATAATGATGGTGCTATTATGTCTCGTGATGTTAATAGTGTCAGATTACTAGTATGTATTGACATTTTGATGATATTGTTCATTTCTTTTTCTATGAATACTCGTTGTCAATTGATAGGATAATATGGTAGCTGGTGTTGAACGTTTAGCATATCGAATTCATGGTGAATCATGTGGAGGTTCGGATATTTACGTTCCACCAAATATAACCAATGAATATTGGAATAATGAAGCACATTCGGCTATGTCTGGCGTCAACGTTTTGCCAGTAGACAAAGGATTTATCTATGATCGAAGTAGGTGTTTTACCAATGTCATTCTTTTGTGAATATTCTATTCTCTTTTGTCTATTGTAGAATGTGTGTTGATCAAAGGATTCAAGTAAAACCTATAATCATAGCATTAGAGGAAACGAGAGTTTTTATCTAATTTTACTTTTTAAATAAATAGAGTTTACAAAGCATGGTACTATGGTTTCTACATCAATTCACCTCGAAATATTACTATTAGTTCATGTTCATCAATCGATAGTCATGTCGGTATTTTTACTTATATCCTTGGACCATCAGGTAATCCTATTTCTTTGCTAATATTATTGAGTTCTTCTCTATGCTTGATTAGCTTTATCACATGTATCGATTGCTAGTCGTGTTAATATTAATGATTCGATTGTCATTGGTTCAATTACATCACAAGATTGTAATGATAAAATCGATTCAAATTCCATCAATATTCGACTATCACAAATGGCCATACCTGGTGTATCCGACAATTCATCTTTCAATATTACTGCTGGTCGAGTGGGTATCGTTTTTCCAACAGTATCACGAAATAACTTTATGCCTATTCGTTCATGGACTGGAATTGGCATTTATCCTTGTCGTAAGTGAATACAAAACATTATAATTGATGATTGAATAATTTCTCTAGTTAATGGTTCAATGTCAATCATAAATACAACTTTTGCTTTCTTCAATGATACTTGTGGTCGACATGACGTTGCAATTCAAGTGTCACAGAGAAATGATGATGGACAATTTCCGATTACAACACGTTCTCTATTTGTCTATAATACATCGGAGGAAAATCTTATTTTCAATGGTCTGCCAAATTTAGGTGTAGTCAATCCGAGCAGATGTGGTGGTAAGTCGATTTCATGTATAAACTTATTTGTTAAATTATCGTTGCAGACATGGATTGTGATGGTTTGAAAAAGAATTTGTTGATCGATACAGATGGTTCACTTTTTGGTCAACCAGCCAGTGTCTTTTCATACGCTGAAGCTTTATGGGGTCAGTTATTGGCATGAATTAATCAATCAGAAAATAATTTCAAAACATTCTTTTTTATCTAGGAAATCAACAACATGGCATTGGAGATTTTCGCATTCCTTTAGTAGCATACACCAACTTGACTGGACATAGAATGAACATTAACTTAACTCATCCGTACCGTGGCATTAGTCGTACAAATTCTTGTTCTCTTCGATCATCATGGGGAATGTACATTTGTAATTCGACGACTGACTATCGTATGTTAATTATTGAAAGTATGGATTCAGATACGGAAAAACGACGTCTTTCACCTGTTGCTATTATGTCCAAGAGTGGTTACATTGATCTAATCAATGGACCTCAAGATCAGACGTTTTGCAATGGTTATTCATGTCGAAAACGTATTTCAACATTTATGGCTATCATTCAATCTGAACAAACCTATGACATATATTTCTCAAGTACTCCACCTCGACAAACACGTTTTCGTATACTCAATGCAAATTCTAGTATAAAATGTATTTTGGCACTTTATTTTTATTCATTACAACAAATTGATTTTTATGCGAATACATTGTATGTACCACCAACGAATCGAGATCTTCGGTCTCCTGGTCTCATGTTACTCGATCAACCAAACAATGTCACCTTATTATCACCACCTGGAAGCAATTATTTCAATAGGTTTGATTTATTTTTAAACATCGTCTTTTGGAAATGATTATTGTTGATTCTTTTTATTCTGTTGTCTGTAAATAGAACATATCAAATGGCCTATTTTCTCATTGATGGTAACACTACTATTGATGTGAAAATATCACCACTACTGATTCTGTCTTTTGGTTTTCCACCAATCAGTCCATCAGCATTTTTCTCTACCAATCTTGTTAACAATCTAGCCATGTTGTTGAATATCAATCCAGAGAAAATTCGACGTGTTAACATTGTTTCAGCCTCGAATAATACGTAACAGTGCTATATATTTGTTTGATTATTAATTTATTTTATTTCTTGTTCAATAGTCGTATTCGTCGACAAGCCCCATCTGTTACTGCATCTGTTCGATTACAGATGGAACTACGTGATGAACCTCGTCCTAGTACGACAGCAGCAACTGGAATTCGAGCAGAAATTCTAGCGAATATTGCTTCGTCAATTATCAATCGTTATCAAGCAGGTGAATTACAAATAGCATGGGCAAATCTCAATATAGCAGGTGGCAATTCTCCATCGAATTTGAGTACACAAGAACCTTATGATGATTTTCAAGTTGAATTGAGTGTCATACGTCAACTTTTACTTATCACACCACCATCGAACTGTCGTCAACAAAGTCCATGTACAATTCAACCAGTACTTGTTGCCTATGATGTACAAGGAAATGTTATTCAAAAATTAGGTTCAAACGATCGACCATGGCAAGTGAAAGCTAGTCTCGTCAATCAACCAAATGTCATGTTGCCGGGTAGTATAGCCAACTATACTAATGGACAAACACAATACAGTCTACTCACTCTACCAGATAATGGTACTTACGAAGTTCAATTTACTATGATTCTACCCGATGGTGTAAACAGGTATTAATAAATATTATTGTCTATCTTTATGAAATCTATTGTTTTGCTCTGTAATAGTACATATTTTTGGACATTAAATCTGACAGCTCAAACTACTAATTGCACAGTAACACAAGCAGTGCTTGCTGGTCGACAAGTTAACAATGTTTATGTTGTCAATGTTAATGAAACATTTAGTATAAGTGTTATGCCCATTGATAGTGTTACTCGACTGAGACTTGGACAAATTCAATGGGGAGGTTGGCAATGGTCTGCCAATGTCAACATGTATAGCTTACCGAGTTTTAATCGTCTCGGATCACTAGTTAGGAATAGTACATCAAGAACTATAGTCAATCTCGTAGCTGGTACTGTTACTATTACTAATCTAGCACTCAATTTTACCGGTATGTATGTGCTACAAATTCGTTCAAAGTCTTCCAACAATGAACATGACATTATGTTAACATCGAATGGTATCCTTGTCAAGGAAGATAAGAGTAAGTTCGATACTTGTAGAAGATAAATGTGTATAACTTTATGTCATTCTTCAGGTAATTTTGTTACTGAAACTGAAGGATTCTCAAGCAACATCACATTCCAAGGTGATTTTGATGCACTCAATGCTAGTGATCAACTAGAAATCAAACGTGCAACAATTTACAATTATTTACTTAGTATTGGCATGCCTCTCATTAGCGATATCGTCCTGTTGAAAAGTTTTTATAGAATTTAAAATTGAAGTGTTATATTTCTCGATTATTTTTTAGGTGCCACAGGTACTATTGTTGCCTTGTTTGAAGTTGAACCATTGGCTACAAATATATCAAATGCCGTGTCAAGTTTGTTATCGAATCCTAATACCATATCCGGTCTCACGATTAGTTCACTGAATATCAATGGTCGTTCCTATTCAGTTTCAGATCTATCGAACCACAACGAAACGAATAATACTGATAATGGTTCGACTAATGTCGGTTTGATTGTTGGTCTCGTGGTTGGTCTAGTCGGTGGTTCATTAATTGTTGCCGGGATCGTGTTGGTTTATCAATTATATCCACGAATGCTTGTACAAAATCGTCTTGGAGTCGCAGAAACTATTGGACAGCAACCGATATCGAATACAGCACTAACTGTATCAGATGTCGAACTAATCTCATTTTCCCCGGTTTCATATGCTCCATCAGCACCTAATCAAATTCACGTCTCGAAATACGTGTATCCTTCTCAACCTCAATTGACTACGTCCAAACCTAACGCACCGAATTTCAAAAAAGCTGAACCAGGACAATCACCACTTGCACCGACATTAATTTCATTCAATTAAATGAACTTGATTTTCGTCATTATCAATAATCATGATATACATTTAGCTAGTTTTATTATACAGCACTACTTCTCTTCTCTTGTAGTGCATACCTCTCAAACAAAAGAAATTTCATTTTGATGACACTATATTTGACTAAAAGATCTGCTTTTTTTTTCATTTTATTCTCGAATAAAAATAATGACATACCAAGCTGCTGACATCTAGTGATTTCAGCTCAATCAGATTTCAATTTTTGATTCATTTCACCAATCTTAATGTCAACATATTATTTAGCTACGAATGATTCGATGGAAGACTTGCCTTTTGAATTAGTAGTGCTATTTTAAACAATGAGAGAGCCACTAAATAAAACATATTCATTAACCTCTGAGTACCGAAAAAGCTAGTTTATTATGTAAAAATAATAAAATGAATACAACAATAAAAGCAACAGAACAACATACTAAACCGGAATGTAGAGTTTCGTTTGTTGAAATACTTGAACTAATAATACACTACAATAAGATGTTATTACACTTTCAAATTTCGGTAAATCATAACATTCTTCACTAAAATATATTCTATTTATTATACCCAGATAATAAATATTTGACTATATCCCATAACATGCTCATTTACATTGTTCATAAGTATATTCAATATACTAGGATATTGAGGAACAGTTACAGGTGTTGCTGCAACTAGACACATCAATGCTTTCATCTATAAAAAGAAACGGAATAAAATAAAATAAAAGTAGGATAAATAAATAATAAACAAACAGTTTGATGATCTATTCGATCGTTATCAGTTATCATTTTTCCTTCTGGATTAAGATATTGTTCAAATGCTGGATATACAATTGTTTCTTCTGCTGTACTATGCCTAGCTAGTTTTCATAGAATTTGAATAGTATGTATATAGTTATTGGAGAACAAAATTGCTTTGACACATTAAATAATTCTAAAATTTTATGTTACGAATTTCTATTCGAATAAAATAAATTAACATACTAGATAAAATTGATTAACAAGTATATGATCACTTTTTACTACAGACGAAATTAGTAAAAAGTTCATTTCAATAATATTCACGATTCTTATACAAATACAATCAATTTAAAATCATACAATATATCATACACATTCCTATTTCGTATTTTGTCATATAATCAAAATATTCATAAATATATACGAGCCAATCTTGTTTATTTTCTGTTGCTTTTGTTATCTTAGAGAGTACGCTAAACAATAGTACAATAAATTGTTCTTTGCTTGCTTTGATCCATGTAAAAATAGGAAAAGATTATTACGTACGAATATACAAGATAACTTAAACTGATTTATACATATCCCATTATAACATGTACTTTCTACATTTACAAGAATACATTACTGAATGCTGTTTTTCTGACATTTACTGTAGAAGCAAAGAGAAAATTTATTTAGAAACGAAATCATATTATGAAATTTCATAGTTTTTGAGCACACAATCTAAAACAAGTTTATTACTTTATAAAACAATCAAGTAATTAATGAATGAAAAGCCAGCAAGTATCATATCTTGTGACCCACCTTTTCATATCCATAGTGATTATATATCAAAAACTGTTGAATAAATGACTCTCAAGATGGTAGACTAAAGAAACCAATATTATTTTTTGAGTCTGTAAATATTAAAAGATGCATTGTCATATAACGATAATTTGGATGTAGGGGTAGGTGTGTATAAAAAGAAGATCCTCATCCACACCCACATCCACGCTCATAATCGACTGGCATCGAGATACATATTTCAAATGTTTAGTTATCTAAATGAGTAAATATTCGAAAGCATGTGTGCGTGTCTGTCAGAACACTTTTTATTCCAATCAATTTAAGACTGATTTCCTTCCTATTCAATCTGTCGCATGTCTCCTTCTGTTCCTTATTACTTTCTATGAACAGATTAATGAGATACCTACAACAAAAAGTCTTTTTATATTATGTTAAGCACTGAAGAATTAATACATTTATGATCAATCATTTTTCATCCATCATCTCAACTCGATATATCGAGATGAAAAAAGACTCTCTCGTTACAGATTCAAATATAATAGCATAACAAATATTGACTCTTCATAACGTTGAGAACTTGCAAGATTGTCTCATGAGATGTTTCTCAAAATAGTCGCGTCTCATCCGTCTTATACACGCAGAGCTCTGATCGATACTCTTCCTTCGCTTTTCAGTGAATCGACTTTCATCTTGTCATTGCTGTTTGTATAAACAATATCTTCAGAGAAATTAGATTGCTTAGGATCCATTGACAGAGCTATGGGCTCTTAGAGAAACAAAAATAACGTTGCTCTTCGAATCCTTTTTATCGCAATATGTAGAATCGAAACTGGATATCTTATGAATAATAAAATGATGCTAATGTTAATTATGATGATAAACAGTCTCTTATCGTGTTTGATGGTAAACGATGTTTCTTACTCGTTCTTTCTTTTTCTATTTCTCGTTCCATATCTGTTCTTTCTCTTTTCTATTTTTCTCCTTCTGACTCATTCTATCTATTCTGTTTCTCATCTACTTGTTGTTTTTTTTTTTATCTTTCTGTATAAATTAGATGTGATATGAGAAATATGCAGTAATAGAAGTATATAACTGATTGTTTGACTTACATATGAAAATAGAATATGCATGATGCATGTTTAATTATCTATGGATAGAGTAGTCGAAGAAATTGCTTCAGTACCTGAAGTGGCACAAAATCAAGATGATAAAGTACACCATATATTTATAAGGTAAGATAATTCTGTTATATGAAAGAAAAAAAAGAAACTTGGAGATAATTTTTGAGTAGAGTTATAATGCCAAAGATGCTTATTATTTTGTCGAAAATCTTCTTTTCTTTTTCCTATATTTAAATCCAAGAGTGTCCTAACTCTTTGATAAAATTAGTTTTTGTTTCAATAAATCAAAACAAAAATATATTTGACAGAGAAGCAAATAATTGCAAGAATAATTATGAATATTCTTTTTTAGACAATTCAATTCAAATAATTATCTAAAACAATTTATTTTATGGATTGTTCTATTTATCTGTCTTATTCTTATTGCTGGTCCACTTGCACTTCATATTTCATCTGTATTACCTACAGTAAAAGCACGAAATATTCCACTTCATCTATTTAGTGAAGAACGTGCTCGTGATTACTTTTCTAATTTAACTTTATATGGATCAAGAGTAAGTAATACACGTGGCGATTTTTACACACGACGTTTTCTCATCACACAAATTGAACGTATTTGTTCAATCAGTAAAAGACATCTTAAATTTGAGTTTGATCTTCAAAATTTTACCGATCTTCAACATAATCAATTACAAAATATAATCGTTCGTCTCTCAAATCTAACTACAAAGTCCAAAAATGTGTCAAGTTTGTTGCTAACTGCTCATTACGATTCAGGTAAATATATTTATAAATCTAATCATTTCGAAGAAAATTATTTAATTATAGTGGAATTCAGTCCTGGAGGTAGTGACGATGGTTCAGGTATTGTTATTTTACTTGAACTTCTCTCAAATTTAGTTAATGATTTAACATTAACATTTTCTGATGTTCATCTTATCATTCTATTCACAAGTGCCGAAGAAATCAATTCACAAGGTGCTAAAGAATTTATTACTAATCATATTTGGCGTTCCAATATTCGTTATTTTATCAATATCGATGCAGCCAGTTGCAATGAAAAGGCTAGCTTAAATCGAATAATACCATCACAGGTTTTTTTTTCATTCTTTACATTTATTTTGTAGTCTTTATATTTTTCAGCTTATTGTTGACTATAGTCGAGTGTTAAGACCACGTGCCAATGTGATCACTGAGTATATTCACAAATGGTTTAAATGGATGAGTGATTATGATGCTTTTATTGTGAATAATTCTCTATTAGGATATGAATTTGGTTTTCTTCTTGATGGTTATATTTATCATACATCACTTGATCATCCATCAATGATAAAACAAGGTGTTCTTCAAGATCTAGGTGAAAATCTAGGTATATTAATTCGTCATATACTTCTGGGAAATATTAATCTTCAAGTGACAAGGAATATTATCGATAAGGATCCTTTTATTTATTTTGATATTCTTAGTCGATACTTAATTGTGTATAGAATGTCTACATCAATAATTATTCAATTAATTCTAATAATATTAGTTCTAGTAATTGGTATAACTTTAATTTTATTCGATCATATATGGCATCGTAAAAGAACATTAACATGTATCAATTTTCATTGTATCTATTTACATTTTAAATATCCATTGATTATACGTATTATTTCGATTATTATCTATTTCATTTCTAATATATTCTCTGTATCTGTTGGTCTTCTTTTCGCGATTATTGTTGCATTAATTATGGCAACATTTCAACCTCTTTCATGGTTTGGTAATGCAACATTGGCTATATTTCTTTTTAGTCTTCCATGTCTAATTGGTATGATTACTATTGGATATCTATGGACTATTTTTCATCGTTTTATACTTAGAAAATGGCCTAAAAATTCATTTAGATTCGATAGTACCATTGAGGAGCAACATTTAAATAAAGCTAGTTTTGATTTTGAACATAATTTAGCAGTTCTATTTATTTACAGTTTATTAATGATTGTTTCAATATATTTTTCTCATCGATTATCTTATTTAATTCTGGTTTGGTCTATTTTTATCTGTCCGATCTATCTTTTTTTGATGATCATAGAATTCAGTCTTCATTGGAAACAAATACATTGGACACTGTTCGAACAAGCATGTCACTGGTTATTTTTACCTTTGATTATCTCTCTCTTACCATTGACACATACAATTGAAATAGTCAATCGATTGCTTCGTATTCTTATTCCACTTATGGCTCGAAGATTTTCTTTTGAATGGTCTCATCCAGGAAATATCATAATCTGTTGTATTATTGCTGTTCCTACCACAGTTTTTGTACTTGTTTTTATACCGATATTGCAACGAATCAAATATTTTGGTCGAATATTAATTGTTCTTTTGATTAGTTTTTTCATTGTCTTTATTGTCGCTTACAATCGTCAACCATTTAATACTATTCATCCACATCTCTTTTATGCCAAACATATGTCAAAGTCGATTTATAAGGCAGAGATATTGTCCAATAATTCTGTTATTGTTCAACTTATATCACAATCATCATCAATCACAGTTGCAACATACGATGGTCTTGCTCTATCATCTGTACTTAATGATTTTTCAGCTAAGAGTGGTCATATATTGCATAATCAACGATGTCTTAGAAGAACGACAAAATGTACATTTGACGATACGTTCAATCGTACAATTGCTGTTCAACATATAAAAATAAAATCTATGAACAATTTTAGTGATTATATAATTATTGTTCAACACGTTTTATCTTATAATATTCAAGTTTCATCATTTTCATTGATCAAATTTCTTGTACTCAATCGATCGAATATACCAAGAACAGAGACAATAATCTATGTAACATTGAATTCGTTATCATCTTCATTTGATATCAATATCAGAATTAGACGTTGTGATTTAATTGATTCGCCATTTTTACTATTATTTACTCGTATGATGTCAAATATGGTTCTTATGGGTATGAGTCAATGTCAAGCAATTGATGATGATACTATTCTTACTATTAAGAAGTAATGATAGAATGACTAACGTGTTCGGCTCTCGAATATTAGTATTACGTTACAGTTCTCCCTCTCGCAGCACCATCTTTATATAATTTTATTTTGTGCCACATGTCTCTAGCTCCTTGCTCATTGATGGTCGATGCATTTTGCCCTACGAATTATCGTTGATGATTCATATTATTTCTGCTTTTTGTTTTATCTTTTTTATGTTATTTGTGTTTTGCTTCAATTGGTTTCCTTCATAAGTTATTTGTAATCAACATTATGTCCCTTTAGACTCGGTAATAAGTAGAGATTTAAATAAACTATCCCATTCTAACAGTAAAATTTAGTTTACTGAGACAAAACTTCATATTTTCAAAATTTTCTAGATGATACTCGTGATCAGCATAAAATTTTCATATTGAGTGATGTGCTTATTAGAATAAATAGAGATAAAAGTGGCTGACTAACCGTTGAGCGGATACCCAGGTAGGAAAATCGGTTGGAGAGGTTTTGTAAAATTCAATCACACAAAATGTTCGTCATGGTCGACTTCCTGTTTTGACGTGGTTTTTATCCAAGAATCACAGGAGCGAGAAAATGGGCTCACCACTCCTGATTCTTTACGGTGTTACCTGGAAAGAAATTTTTTGAGACAATGTTATGAAAAGTAGCAAGAGTGTGCATGAAAGGCATTATTAAGAAAGAAAATGTCGTCAACTTTCGATTATTCCATTCTGAAGATTTTCCCAAGCGACAGAGAATCAAACACTGCTATATTAGTCTATTTCTATTCTCAGTCATTCATGATCGACTTGCTAAATGAAACTAATCCTGACAACTGAACGTCTCCGCATACCTATATTTACTATTGAAATATGTAAAGGGTGGGGTGTGGGTGTGAATGAGTGAGCATCATCAAGTTAGCCACACTGACACTTACCCTACAGCCCGACTGAGTCTCCTAGTTAGTAAACATTCATGTGAATAGCCGCTCATTTCTCGGGTATACAATATCACGAGCTAGTTCAATAGGATTATGAAAATCTCATCGTTCTTTGATATTTTTCACAACTATTCGAAAAAAATCCTTTCAAATACTCGTCTAGATCGATATCTTTTGTATTGAATCGTTTCTCAAGTGTTTCAAGTCGGTTTTATATGAGAGAAATCATCTTAATTGATTATTTCTGTGAACAATCCATCATTTTCTTCTATTTGAACTTTGCTCTTTTTTTCTTAGATTTTGTTATATAATCGAGTAAATGAAAGGCTTACAATAGTTCCATTGTCATATATCAACTTTTGTAATAAGAACTGAAATGAAAGTCACCTTCATCGGTTAAATAAACGGAAGACACTGTATGTTCTATGATTAATCGAAATATAAGTTCTATTTTAATTGAATTAGAACAGTTTAATTACTATTTGATTGTAATCGGATAAGTTTAATCGTCCTCGATGATTTGTTTTCTTCTTTACTTTTTATCTGGAATATTCAAATTTCTTACTATATTGATACATATACAGAATATTCATTCTTTTTGTCTGTCGTATCTTTTTATGAGTTAATTTGTTGTATTCAATTGGTTAATACGTAGCAGAATATATATGTATATATATTTATTAATATTGTCTACCTTTATATATGAAAATCAGATTGGTTGAATTGCTCCCTGAATTAAACATGATGAATCAGTTTGCATGAAAACTTTTTATGTGAATAAAATTCAAATTCATCAAATTAGTCACTTCGAATCAGTTTCAAGATTTATACCGTTTCGTTTAGTATATGATTGCTAGAAATTCTAGCTGAATCACTTTTGATGCAAAGAGATCTATTACTCTAGTAAAATAATTTTTCGCTGTCATACATTGAATTCACCATTGACGATCTATGATGATATAATCATATACAAAACAAAAAGATTGATGAAATATGCTATCAATTATTTTATGATCAAAATATTTAATAAAAAACAAAAGAAAAATTAACAAGTAACCAGATTTAAAAGATACTAAAACAATATTAATTAAATAAACATTCATATTTAGCGGAAATATTATGCATGATAATTGTTTGTTTTTAGTCTCTACATGTTGATTCTTATCAAGTTCTTCACCATTATTTTTATTAAAAGAATGATTTGTCTACTTTTCTGTTAACATCGTTCCCATTGATTGTGTTCTCATTCATCGTTGGTATTGATGATAATACGCTGCAATGATAAATAATAGATTAATAATGATTATTATCAAAAATATAGATAATATTAACTATGAAAAGATGTTTTTTTCTCTCTCTCTCTTACATTTCAGGATTCGGTCCAACAGTATGTACTATATTTGTAATCAATGATGAAATTGCTTCTGTTGATGATTCTTTTGATTTTGAATCTTCTTCTTGTTGACGAATAACACGATTGAATGGTAATAATGGAGATTCGACTTTCTTTGTCGAGTGTGGACGTATAACATTTGATTTCTATATTGATACAAAAAATAATTTTATATATGAAATATTTAGATATTAAAATTAATATTCATTATTTTGTTTTGTTAAATGAATATTAGAAAAAAGAATAAAACTCTAACCATAGATGAAATGCGTTTTATTTTGTTATTGAATGGTGTCAAAGGATTTTGTTTTGTTATTGATGAAGACATTTCACTGTCTGATAGACTTATTTTTTCCATCCCTGCTGCATATGAAACACGTCGTTTTGATTGATTATTATTAGTATTTAATCTTTCGATTATTTTCGTTATAATAGGAAGATGATGGTATTTAGGTGTTACGTTGTCTTTTATATTTGAATTTTCAATAGGTATATTATCATTATTGTTATATAACGTTGATAAATTATATTTAGAATAGGAATAAAATATTTGAGAAAGTTTTATAAGATATTCATTCTTCAAACGAGATCTTTGTTCAATAATACGTTTGTGAAAAAAATCTTTTTTTAAAATAATATTCATTGTATTTAAAATTAATGTAAGAAAATAATCTCGAAATGATTTGTCATGTTTAAAAATACCACCAGATGGATCAACTATTGGATCAATATCAGGACGACGCCAAATTTCAATCTAAAAATTAAAACTAACAATATTATTCTATCTTTTGATTGTAAACAAAAAAAAAATCAAACTTTGTAATAAAGATCAGATTTAATTTGAATCGGTTGTATTATAATATAGGCTTGTGTTACTTTTCCAAGAAAAATATCGGGTTGAAATAAAAGTTCACTTCTATCTTGAAAAACAATACATATTAATGCATTAGCAATTAAACTTTTTCTTCGAATAAATTCTAGATCATTTTTATTTGATGGAATCATTGGTGCTACATTAAACATAATTTCATGATTTTGATACATAGTAAAATAAGAATGAGTTCCATGTTGATCTGTTTTTATATCAAGATCACCACGATATTTATTAAAATTTTTTAATTCAACACATTCACCAATTAAATTTAGAAAATTTTCCATTTCAATCGACATTTGATTATTACTTAATATTTCAATTTCATTTGATTGATTTAAATGTTGATAAACAATACCAACTTTAGTTGAAAGTTGTTCATCATTATATTTATCAAAATCAAGAATTTTTCCATTTGCCTTAATAAATAATTTATATTAAATTATCTTTTAAAAACAATAACACAAATGAAACAGAATAAATATCAAAAGATAGAAAATTGTCTATATATCGAATTTTTCAATACAGTTTCATTTATACAAAAACTAAAAACAAAGTATCTTTCAGTTCAAAAAATGTTTCTCATTTAAATGCAAAGCACATGAAGTATTAATTGTACTAATTGGTATGAATATTATTGAAGTTAAACATTACCAGGATTGAATTAATATTAGTAATATGAACTACAAATAGTTATCTATTTAACTATGTTAAATTGACTAACTTCTTATGAAAATGAAGGAAAGTCTTCATGAAAGTTGAGTATCGACGAATAGACTTTCCTTTTTTTAAATCCACTAAGAAAATCATCTTCTCTTGTATGTTGTCTTAAAAAAAACACTTGAATTCTCTAAATGTTCGGATGAATTACTATACATACATCTTAAATGATGAAATATTTTTATTCTTAGAATTTAAAATAAAATTCTACAACGACATACTACTTCTCTCTCTATAGCAGTACTACTTAGTACTTATGCAGCAGAAATATAGAAAGTTTTTTCGATTAGAAAATTCTGTATTATTTATATAGAGAACAGACTTGTAAAATCTTTACTCAATGTTAAAAAAACAAAGAAAATACTGAGAATTTTCGTTTATCATCTGTAAGCAAATTTCATATATATTTTTTTTTGTCAAAAAGAGATCGCTCAATTTTCGAAAAAGAAAGAACTTTCCTTCCTATATTAAAGATGTTGAATTCCTAAAAGAAGTACGTTAGTATATTTATGTTTAGTAATTTTCTTACGTTGATATCGTGAATAAGCTCAACATGACGAATAGATGACAATTCAGTCTTGTCTAATAGAAATTGTACAATATTTTCTTCATTTTTGACATTTATTATCCCTGATATATCATAATTGTTATCTTGTGTACTTTAATAAAATAAAATAATTTAAATAAAATCGCCGAAATAAAATGATATTTGACTACTTAAATATTGTTAAAAGAAATTTTCATGAATTATTTTTCATATTTTCGATATCGATATACAAAAATAAAAAGTTCATTCTTTCAATTTTTTTTCTATTTTGATCGATTTGAAGTCTTTTTTTTTAATAAAATCCAGATGAGTTGATATTTTTTTCAGAAAAAATAACTCGACATACCGAATAATGGCTCGAAGTAAATGTTGATTTTCATCATCATTTGTCGTTGAATAACGAGATGATTGTTTTCTATATAGTTCATTTGATTTTGTTTGAATAGATCGAATCGAAGCTAAAAATAAACCTTCACGTTCAAGTTCACCAAAATAATTCATATGAAACTAAAAATTAAACAAATCTATATTTGTTTTGAACTAATTCTATATATATAAATGAATTTTGAGACTTACATGATCAAAAAATTCTTCTTCATATCGTTGTGATACACATAATGGTGCTTTTAGTTGATAATGACGTGTTTTTTCTTGTTGACCATTGTTTAAAGATTGTTGACGAACAAATAAAGATGACGATGATGATGATGATGATGAATGTTCTTCTTCTGGGTCGATTGACGCTACATTATCATTAATATTTAACTGATTTGAGTTAATTTTATCCATTGAATATTAATATAATCTCTAAATATATTGCAATGTTTGTTTTTGTTTTCAATAAATGTTTATCATGTTGTGAGCTACCATGTGTAAAAAATAATGAGTATGTATAGGTGAAATAATGTTTTTCTGTTCTAGCAAAATAAATAAGAAAATAATTAATAGTAATAGCTGTGTATGGATTAGTAATCAAGGAGAAATAATGACTCATTGGTATGATTTATTCAAACATAACTAGCTATCTGCTTAATATTATCTGTTTGATGAAGTACATGATTGATATATAATATTAATCGGATATTGATATTGCCTAGAAAAATCTCTTCATAAATGAACTTTTATTTGGTTAACTAATTTTTGATGATTTTTTAAATCTTTCTTTTAAAGAAATAAAAATATTTTATTAACTATAGGCTTTTATTATGATACCTATGTAAAAAAAACTTCAGAATACAAAATGAATCTTGTTATTTTTTTTTTGAAATGATAATATCTTTAAGAAGTTAATATTGTAACTTTTTTTGATTAATACATTTTCTATATGAAATTCGTTGTTTCCTTCAAGTGACTTATTGGTATAGTTAATCGAGAACATTTATAAATAGTCATCTGTTGTAACGGGAAGAAAATTACTTGTATATTCAAACTGAAGAGTATCTAAGCAAACGATAGATTTTTAGAAAATAGAAAATGTTCAAAGCAAACTTTCAGAGTGTGGGTATGGATGTGGGTACACATTTAGAGAACACCCACATCAACACCGACAACCACACGTCACACTCACACCTGCACACCCACACCCTGTTTGTTATCAGAGCTTTCCATTGAATGGAGACCAATAATATTTAGGATAAATAGTCGAAATTTTATCTTATTAAAGTGCAATTCATTCGCAATAACTATGAAAAATAGAATAAGGTTATTCAGTTTTTATGTTGATGCAGATGAATTCATAAATAATTCTATTTTAAAAAAACAGCAATCAATCTACTTTTTATTGTTTCACCTATTCAATTGTTAAAAAAATAATATGGATGAAACTTATCTTTGTCCTCGAATGCGTTTCAAGTTTCGTCGGAAAAAAAAATTCGTTAATTGATTTTTGCAGTTGTTTTCTTTAATTCTTTTATATAATCAACGTTATAGATATCAACTGATACTTACCATGATTGTTGCTTTTAACTTCAAGAAAAACAATCGGTTTTTTTACTTTTCAAGGACGAAAGGCATTGCATGAGAACAATATTTCGTCATTAATAAAACTTCTTTTCTATTTTGTCGTACTAAATAATCATTACAAAAGTGAATTCAATTTGATTATTTCAACATCAGCTTTGGTAACTATGTAAATAATCATACAGAAAAAAATTGAATGTGCGTATGAATACAAGAATATTATTAATTAAATTTTTTTTCTTCAAATCAAACAAATCGATTTATTGTTTTGAATAAAAAAAAATTGTCAATCATTACATATTTTTTTCGTTGTTAAGATGATGAAATTGCTGACGTTATCTAAATAAAAACTCCTAATACAAGGACAACGCAACACAATAAATAAATCTTTGAAGAAAAATAAAAACTATAAAGAATGAAAAAATTATCTATGATAATATTATAAACGTATTAGAAAACTATGCATTATGAAAAAATATCGATAAGCTAGAAGATCAGACTACTCAATGACATAGAATTTCAATGCTAGTAGTATTTTTTTGCAAGATGATTATCATTATGATTTTGTCCTAAATAAAATACATTAAGTAATTTAGTACTTCTCAGAATCTTACAGGTAACTCATCTATTCATATTTAACAGATTATAGAGTTGTTATCCAACTTAATGATAATTCACTCTTATGAATATTAATATTTGTAAATCTGATAGTATTTAAGAAATCTTCTCAATTGAAAGACTCGCTTTTATAACCAAAATGATATAAAAGTCTATAAAAAGATCTTTTTTTTTTCATATAAGCAGTTTATGTCTTCAAATGTCACATCTTGACCTACTGAAAGTGCACTCACATTTATTCATGATGAATTAATTAAATAATACGCAACTATGTGTTCCTGGTGACTATTGACAAAAAAAAAATCAAGGTCTTATTGAATATGAATCAACTATTAAATAACACAAACAATAATCATTACTGCTACGGTTTCATACAATATAGCATACAAGTGCTTGCAAATTCTATTCACTTCTTTATTAAAAAAAATATGTTTTACTTTCACGACAAACATTGTCAAAGCAAAGAAAAAGCAACAAAAAGTCATTCTTTATATGTCCCATACACTGCAGTAATCCCGGCGAACAACAATAGTATTCAGGTACGCTTGATAATATTGCAATAAGAACTGTGTTTGCAAGTACAGAGATTCATATCGTTGACATCTACGCAATGATAAGAATCTATAAGTTTAAAATTCTTTAACTATGTATTAGTATTTATATTGAATTTTTATTGTGAACTATTTTTTGATAGAATAACTTGTAAAGTAAATTACTTTTCAAAATTAATAGGTCTAGTTGTGTCTCATGTCTTATAATATCAAGAGAATAGAATTTAAAGAGCACACTACTCTCTTAGTTAATAATATTACTTTCAAAAACCATTAATTCATATTCCCAGTCAAACAAAAATTTTGAAAAACGCGTTTAAACGCACAATCGGGAACCGCGACTGTGATCCATTCACGCTCATTAAAAAAATGCACAGAAACGCGTTTATTGGCGTTTTTTGTGACTTTCTGGACGTCAAAACGGCGAAAATTCCAGTTTTTGAGCGTTAAAACGCACTATTATTCTAGAACTTAAAAACAATACGTTTTAACGCTCAAAAACTGGAATTTTCGCCGTTTTGACGTTCAGAAAGTTACAAAAAACGCCAATAAACGCGTTTTTCAAAATTTTTGTTTGACTGGGTTCTTATTGAGCAGTCTTATTCGGATGAACAATATTCTTTTTATTAACAATTCATCTTACTTCACAACTTATCAAAACATTAATCTCTATTTTTCATGCATGGAGAAAGTATTGCATTGCGAAAAACTTTTCTCCAACCCATACTCTACTTATCGAGGATATTATAAATTTATGAGTTTTACTATTTAATGATTAACAATTGTTTTTCATCAAATTCTATTCTTGAAGATATTTGGTTTGGTTGATTTTAATTGATTGATGTAATTAGAAACAAACAATGTACGTAGGTCTCTTGATATTATTCTGCTCATACGTTTCTATTGATGGTAAACACTTCAATGGAGGAACTATCAGATGGGCTCCTGTAGATCCATATGATAATGACAGTTCAGTTGATATTACTATAACACAGTCTTATTCATGGACATATCCATATATACAATGTACCAACAACGTACCGATCACAACGACTGGATTTAGTGGTGCCAATACAAATCTAAGTTGTGTTGTGGACTGCTCAACCGATGGTGGATATTCTAGTTCACCAATTAATATTCTCACCAATTGTGTATCAGCTAGTTCATCATTGAAAATGATGACAAGCGAAGCAACGAAAACTAAAACACTTGCGGCTGAAGCACATTTTTATATAGCTTATCGAGGAAGTGCTTGGATACCATTAAACAATCCTGCTCAATCAGGTCTTGAATGGTCTATTGTAACATATATTGATCTTCGCAAACGACTGGATGGTTTCATAAATACTCCGCCTGTGGTCAAGTTTGTTTCTCCTCAATATACCTTTGTAAATAGAACAATAAAAATTAATATTCCTGTTTCGGATGCTAATGCTGGTGACGATGTACGTTGTCGATGGTCAATATTTACAAGTGGATATCGAAGACGAAAACGATCGAACGATGAAGAAAATCGCGAAAATCAATATCAAACTGATCACAGATACAAAACACAAAATGATAATAATGAAATCATCAATGCAAGAAAAAAAAGGCAGACGTGTCAATGTAGTTCAGGCAAGTTGTGTTCCTCTATCGACTGTCAAAGCGCCTCATGCATGGGCATAAAATGTGCAAGTACATGTTGTGATAGCGTAGCGACAAAAATATCGACTACAGATAGTACAACCGATACAACAACAATGACTACAACTAGTGAAACCAGTACAACAACATCGACTACAGTTAGCACCTCCATAATGAGTACAACTACACTTGAAACTATAGGTACACTAAAATCGACTTCAACATATCCAATTCGTCAAGCAATTGACGAATGTGCTGATATTTGTTATCCAGATAGTGTGCCTACTGGTACAACTCTGTCCAATTGCACGATCACATTCACAGGTAATAAAGCTGGTGTCTGGTATGCTGTTGCCATTCAGGTAAGAAGATTGTTATTCATACATTACTTGTTCTTCGATCTCCATGATTCCATCATTTCTATTTGCTGACCAATTATGATTAATATTAGTAGATTCTAATTCTTGATCACTGAGAACAGCACTTCACTCTTGCATACATGAGTTAATTAGAAAATTCTATATATTGAACCATATCGAATTCATTCTTACTTGTCAAGAAAAACTATTTCCAACTTTTGCATCAGAAATGAACTTTCAGAGAAAAATCAATGTTAAAAAAATGTAAAAAACTATTAGGTTGTTTATGACATTATCTATTATTTAATATATAGTATAGAATAATCATCTATTGTACTAAAGGTTGAAGATTTTATCGATTCAACAAGTACAACACCAATGAGTTCAGTACCAGTTCAAATGCTGATTTATGTTCAACCACAACCTGCTTGTTCAGATGCACCCATAATTTTTTCTCTAAGTGGTTGTCTAGAAGTACAAGTTGGCATCTCAATCAGTTTCAACCTATCTGTAATGAATCTATGTAATCAGACTGTGGCTAAACTATCTGATATACTTATTTCAAGTGCAATTACTGGTATGACTCGTAGTAATCTGACAAATTCATCAACAAATTCATCAGTTTCCTACGTCATATTCACTTGGACACCGCAGACAAATCAAGTTGGATCAGAACAGCTGTGTGTAATTGCATTTACAACGTAAAATTTCTCTTGTTCGACTTTTCATGCTTTTAGAATCTTCTTTTTTTATTAATTAGTGAAAATTTAGAATCTGATCGATATTGTGTTACATTTACTGTGAAAAATTCATCTGATATTTGTGTAACAACTACAACATCCACAAGTACGACAACGACAACATTCGTAAGTACCACAACCACAACATCTACGAGTACGACAGCGACAACATCCGTAAGTACCACAACCACAACATCTACAAGTACAACAACAACAACATCCACAAGTACCACAACCACAATATCTACAAGTACAACAACAACAACATCAACTACTACAACTATGTAAGTAATCAGAAGTAATGTCTCTATCAAAACAGATTTTTAAATAATGAGTACATCGTTGTCATTCTTCCTCAATTTTTATGCATCATAGTTCTACTTTAAAAACTTGTACTAAGCTTCAGTATCGTTCATAGAAACCTTCGTCAAATAATACTCGATACTCACTGTTTGTGTCTATTGACAATAGTCACAGAAAAAAAAGTATACTCTTGCCATATATGTTGTTTACATGTATGAATTATCTGACTTTCTTCAACACAAAATATAACAATAATAGAACTAAGTTTCTGATCGTTTTTATTTTTGTAGAACTACTTCTACAACAACAACGGAAAAGGCTTCAGGTAAGTAAAATTCGATTTTTTTCAAACTCAAGTCGTAGTAGATTGACTTGGACCAAGATTTAACTTATTTTTCCCAAACATTTTCCTACATTCTGGAATACAAGCATCAATAGGACTAGAACAGTTCTTCCAAGAAAGCTAGGCTTGTTGAGCAATCTTAAGAGACCTGAAAAAAACTCATGTAGCACTGAACTCGAAATTTTGACATTGTTTCCCATCGATCAATAGTTGATTTTGAAAAATCTCAAAATTTTCATACATATACTCATAAATTGACTCTCATGCTCTTAGTATTAATTTTACGTAATTACTCTAAATAAACATACTTACATTTACATAGGATCATCAATAAATTGGTGGCTGATGTTGGGCCTGCCATTATTGGCTTTATTGTTAATTGCATGCTGTGTTTGCTGTTGTATTTGTAGATATTTATGGTAAGTATCATGGTTTTAATACTACTCTAGTACAGCAAAACTTATTTATAATATATTTTAAAACAATTTCTAATACAAGTTCTCACTAATTGAAAAATAAGAAATTTATTTAACTGTGTAAAATTCGTATCACACATTTGTTTGTCGAAGGGCCAGTATTCTATCTGTAGATGATTAGTCAGAGACCAACTATCGACATATCACGGTCGGAGTACATGATTCTCAGAAAATTACAAAAGATTTTTAAAAAGGAAACTGACTCATAGTTTGTTTTTTTCAAATAGGATTGCTGGTGCACGACGTCGTCGACGACGGAAAAAAAATAACGAAGATGTCGGTGAACAACCTTTTGAGCCAAGATTTATAATTGATAAATCACAAGGAAAAGCTATTCCTAGAAAAACGTTTAAACCAAATATGTCAGGCAAAGATTGTCCGATTGATGATACAGTGCACCCATATGAAGAATTGAAAAATACCTCCTCATCATACTTGCCTGTGGACTTATTGAACTCGAATTTTTCTGAAACACTAACCACTATGATAGATACGGAAGACTATAGAGTACCATCAACAGTTTCTATTAATAGAATTAAGCATCCTGATATTGAACAATTGAATAACAGTTACAAACTCAATAAAATAAAAGACGAGCATGGAAACTCAGAAAACGATCTTGAGAAATATGAAAATACTGGTCAACAAGTGCTGTCAAGTGCATCATCACATAAATCATCGAAATTCAATCAAGTCAAAGTTATCAAAATACCACGAAATCTATCAGTTGTAAGTCGACGAACTAAGTCACTCAGTGTTCGAAGAACAAGAATCATTAATTTGAACAAAAGTCACATCGAAATGCAGCCAAGAAGAGTTTATTCAAACACTGGTTCACTTGACACGGATATCAATTTATATAAAAGCAGCAGTGTAATCGTTACAAAGCTTCCAAGAAATTCTATTAGTTTTCCATCGCGTTCTTCTTAAATCGACATAATTATTGATCAATTGACTATTAAAATCATTTTTCATTTCTTAGCATTAACATTAACTAATCCAAAGCATTTATCGCTAATACTGCTTTTTCTAATTCATTGATAAATAAAACGTGTTCTCGATTATCTAATAGTTTGGATAGTAAAAGTTGAAAATGAATACCAGATGTTCATTGTACTAATCTAACATAACGCATGGAAGGATTGATTGAAGCATATTGGATAAGAAAAATCAATTCATTAAAAGTTTATCAATTTAATAGAATAAAACAAAACAGTTGATATTATACTGAGAGGCATCAACTTAAACATCATTTTGGCAGTGATTCATTCTCACTCCTACTCCTTGAAATCTTGTTGTATCTTTCTTTCTTTCCTCTTTGATTACTGTTATTATTATTATTGTTGCTTCTTCTCTTTTTTCTTTCTTTTTTCTCCTCCTCGAATCGTTATATAATTATAGGTACAAGATGTTAAGGACATTTAGATATATTTAAATAAAATAAACTTAAGCTCGTCAAAATGAGCTAACAATTTGGTATCGTAACCTATCTTCTTCTATTTACTACATCGAAGAAGAACCCACTCATTAATTAATTTATTCATTCGTAATGGAAAGAGTGATATTCAATCTCATCTTTCATGAAAAGAGAGATCAAACTGATACAAATTATTTACAAAATTTGTTTATTATAAGAAAGTATTCATCTTCAAAATAAAGTTCGAAATCGTTGTCCTTGCTTTAGATGCATATATTTTAACAATGGCTACCGGAACAAGAAATACAGTCAAACAAAGTGATGCGAATCTTTTATCATACAAATTAATTACAAGCTCACCGACAAGAATATGAAATAGAAAAACAAACGATTTGTCATCGATGCAAGAAATAGAAACAACTACGATGAAAACTCGACTATTTCACTCAATCCAAAAAGAAGCAATGAAGAAAATGACTGAATTTTCAGAAGAAACTAATGAATTCGATATTGATGAATGGCTGTTTGATCTAACAAATTTATTTTCATTAATGCAATTAAAAGATGAAACAAAAATTCTCGAAACAATGGGCAAATTAACAGGATCAGCATTACGATGGTGAGTGTAGGTGTAGATGTGGGAAAAATGTGTATGTCTATAGAAAAATCACACCCACACCCTATATCATATTTACATGGAGGCATGCTAGTATGACGTACTGATGCGGCTTCCAAAAGAGTCATCCACCATATTTATCTGGAATTTTTTCTCGTAATCCGACTTTAAAAATTATTTTGTGTATTTAGATGCTGTAATTTCCATATCATTAGATATAAAATAGTCGATTACGTGTTTGGAATATGTTTTCAAAAATTTAGAACGCTAAGTTAAGACGACAGAAACTTAAAATACATAGGAAATTTTCAATTTTTGCCTAGGACCAAAATCATCTGAGGGTGAGTGTGGGTGTGGATATTAATCTTCGCAACATCAACACTCACACCCACCCACACCCACACCCTCACTTTTTTGACCATGGTGGACCCCTCCTTCCTCCCGTGATCAAGCGTGATTGTTTTAGATTCCTCTGAAGGTGTGGGTGTGGGAGTGAGTGTGTATGGGATGTGGATGTAGGTGTGATTGAAGAAGATTCACACCCACATCCACACCCATGCCCACACCGACACTCACATCCACACCCTCTTTTCTTATGTGAAGATAATTTCTGAAGTTTCTAGGAAATTTTCTTGGAAATTATCTGAAAGTTCAAAAATTTGCATGGAAATTCCTTTGTTATGTAATGGTAATTACTAAGATTTGTACGAAATTTCTGTAATTACGCATATGTATGTCTTCAAGTGGTATCGAAGAAGTTTTGGTATTTTCGGAAATTTCCTTTTGCGGAAATCTAAACATACCTCAGCGGTGAAAGCAAAAAAACTGATAGCATTATGCAAATAAAAAAGCAAAATATACAGAAATAGTTATGATTCAGATATTTTTAAATAAGAATCTAACGAAATATTATAGCAAAAAGTAGAGTACTTTATTTTTTCTGAGATTATATGTCGTGAATTCATCGTTTTTTAAAAACGATAGGAAGCTTGATTTTTGAATTGAATTTCCAGATTTTGGAAACTCCTTTCAATTCAATTCAAATCAATTCACCTCATGAATCGAATCGATTTGCCCAGCTGTAATACAAGAGAAAATGTTTACAGCGGATACAGCAACAAGAAATCAGTCAATTGCATGAACATATTTGTGACTTTTTTAGATCAAGATTTCGTCAGCTCGATTTCGACTATATACAACAGGAGAATATGTCGATTTCATAGAAGTACATGCCCACTCGCTCTAAAATCAATTCATTCTCATTAACAATAACTATTCAAAATATATACCAATGTTCAGTAAAATAAATGCAATTACATAATGAGTTCAACTTATTCTGCAACCAATTTGAGCGCTAAACGGTATACTATCATAAAAGTTAACTAACTTTGAAAGGGTGTCTTCTCACATAAACATTATTTAATTTTATAGATCATTCCAACAGTTGACGTGTCAGTAACGACAACAGAATCTCATATATTTGTCATCTCAACAGCTGCATAGATCATAGTCCCCTATAAACCCACCTTGAAATCGGTACCGGTCAGGGCAGTTACTAGTTCGATCCGGTTGAACTTTTCAAACCGCCTGCCTTTCATCGTTTTTTTTGCCAGTTTTTTACTACTTTTTAAAGTACCAAAGTTAGTATATATTTTTCGTTTTATCGATTTTCTTAATTTGAATGTTTGAGAAAAAATAAATGCAAAACCTCGAGTCAATAAATGTCTAGTCGGCATCGAAAACTCAGTTCAAAATTGTGACCTAGAGTTTCCCACTTTACAGTGAGTGGTCTCAGAACATAATGAGTGAATTGATGATGGTAAGAAAAGTTATCCACTGATTCTGAACTTAAACACGGTGTAAACGTGAAAATATCCAATGTAAAAATTCCAAGTTTCCTTCTGAACTGCTTTTCACTGGCTGTTAAAAATTCTTAGCCGCCAGCAAGCCTCAGACTATATTCTAATAGCCTCAATACCAAAATAAATCTTGTTTCAATGTGAAAGTTTTGTCGTATGCTAGTACCATGCAACTCTAAATGAAAACTTAGGTCTTGATAAAAATAAATCTAAAAAAATAAAGCCTATTTGAAAACCGATCTTTGTATCTCATTTAGTCTTGCGATCCGCAATAGGAGTTGACGAATTGAAAAGTTCTTTAAGTAAGAGTACCACTTTTTTTTGATTTTTCAAGACAACAAAAACTAAAGTGGCTCTCTACTCACAAGTACGCTGAATGATGATTTCAAATAAGAAAATATTAAATTTATCACTTTTTTTTATGAAGCAAACTGAACTAAAATAAGGCACATATATTGTTCTATATCAACTGTTGTAAGGTACCACATGATAATTTTTGAAAATAATTTTCCTTTGCTTCTGAGTGATTGGCGTGTCGGTGACATGACAGATTATATAAACAACGTTGGTTTTACAAATTTCACAAGTTATATGAATTTTACTCACTCTGCTTGCCAAGCTATATTACTAAACCCTTTCTCGAAAGAGACACTTTGGTAATTGATATGTAAGGAGTAGCCGCTATCTCACCAGTGAAATTCTCCAATTGAACTCCCCAGTGTTTTCAACAGTTTTTCACCAATCACATTAGAAATTTCAATCGACCGACTCGATTGGTTGAAAAGAAGCTCAACTGGTTTCAAAGTCTTCTATAAACATCTTCAGTTGATAGCTTCGGTTATTAATGACAGAAAAACCACATTCTTTTTACTTAAAAGAAAAAACTTCGAACTTCTTCATCCTTCTACAGTTGAACTCATATCAACCAGAATCTAAATCAGATATTCATATGACTCATTTTTCCAAATCTCACAAAACAATGATTATCCACATTGTCGAAAACTACCACTATATCTTCATTATAAAGCACATCACATAGAAAATTCAAAGATTTTTTATTATCATTTGCAAACAAAACAACAAGGAAACAAAAAGCAAATCACACATTCAACTAGAAATTAAAGTTCTTCATTCCGCCATCTTCGAAACACAAAGCTCACCACTTTGTTCGTTGTTTATTCCGCTTAATTAATTCCTCCAAACGAGTTTCAAGAATGTGCCCAATTCGATTGGAACGGAGATCTAGTGTGGTGAGCGTCTGTGTGAGAAAGTGCAGATGTATATATGAGAGAGAGAGAAGAAGAGAGAAAGAGAGTCACTGTGTTATGTTGTAATGCATCAGCAACATGTTGTGCTCCGATATGTCCGATTTGATTGTTGTAGAGATCTAGTGTGGTGAGTGTCTGTGTGAAAAAGTGCAGATGTGTATATGAGAGAGAGAGAGAAGAAAAGAGAAAGAGAGTCACTGTGTTATGTTGTAATGCATCAGCCAGATGC